CGGCAGTGGAATCTGTGAGTGTCTGTTGGATTTGAACGTGCCGATTCGCTTGCGCATTAATTCGCGGTAGGGGCCCGGGGTGCGTTGGAGCGGTCGTCGGGCAAGAGGAGAGAGGCCGGGTCGTATCGCACCACGACCTCGCCTCCCTCTTGTGCTGAAAGTGAAAATGTTCCCAGGGCCGACCGATCCGAGGCATGGAGGAGGAGGAGGACGTACGGGCGTGTCGATGGTGTCAGAGGTGTGCGTGCATGCGTGCGTGCGTGCGTTTTTTTACAGTGGGCCACTGCAAATATTCACGCAGGTTTAAAAAAAAAACCTTCAGGCGCGGCGCTAGACTATAAATAACACGTGCGCCCCGTACAGTACGACAGACACAATTGACATTTTTATCGTCGGTGGAATCGCATTGCCGACGCTTCGGAAACATGCACGCTAACGGAAAAGGCAAAAGTCTCGCTCGCGACGTGTTCAGCACACCGTGGGCAGGTGCACGCTTGACGTGCCGCGTGGCAGCCAAGGGAGGGAATGTGCCCAAGAAGATGTCCCACCGTGGAGACGGAGCGAGGATTTTGGCTTTCCGTGGAGTTGCCGGGTGGATTGTGGCATCACGGGGCCCGCGATGGATGTTGACGGCTTGGCGCGAGACCTTCATCCAGCAGCGGACTGACCATGGCCAACAGCGATGATGATGATGACGATGTGCCCGAGCAGTACGCCGATTATACCCGCACAGTGGCGGCCGGAGCTTGACTCCGTGGTGGGCGGGGGGGTTGGGGTGGGTGGGGGGGGAACAAAATTCCGCCAAAGCAGCAGAGACCTGTCACTTCTGCGCCATATCTTTCCTGCGTTGGCACTTCCACCGCGGCAACCTTTCACCGGCGGCGTGTTTACCAGAACGGCCGTTTTTTCTGCCTACTCGCCGTTTCCGGGCCGAGCTCCGCTCGCGAGAAAGAAAAGAAAAGGAGGGGGGGGATGGGGGGTGGTCACGAGACCCGGCGCTGACTGCGCCGCTCGCGCGTGCTTTTGACCGCGCGAAAAACAAACACGCCGCCGGCGCGCGCTCTCTCCCTTCCGTCGCGTTGCCACGAGCGGAGTGCTGAGCCCAACGCCAGCCGGCCGATGCCAGTGCTGATTGTCCTTCTGGCCAGGAAGTCCTTGCCGAACGTCAAGACGGGGTTGTTTTTTTTGCTTTGCGTGTTCTTTGGGGGGGGGTTGGGGGGCGGGGGCGGTGTCCTGCAATTTGGGATGTTTGGCCAAGTCCATTAATGAGAGTTTGGCTCCTTGCGGCAGGAAACCGGAAGAAGCCAGAGGGCATCCACCATACCCCGTTGCTAATTGCAAGGGGACAACACTCGGAGCTCCACAGCGATAGATTCAAGAATCCATTGCTGTGCCCCGCCATCTCTTGGCCACCTAACAGGAGGTGTATTTTAAGTGATATAATTTGAGCTCCTTTAGGCTTTTGGAGGGGGGAGGGTGGGGTTGACATTTAAAAAGAAATCGCATGTTTATACCAGTTGTGCTTTCGGCACCTTGTTGTGAGACGAAGAATCCTTGTGCGAGTCTCGCTGAGCACAGTGCGCCCAGTGTGCCAAATAGCGGTCCAAAATATCCTTGAAGTGGCCTTTAACATTCTTTTTACACGAGAACTACCCGGCACGGCCTTGCTTTGGTTTCTGCCGACCGTGGAGACACAGCATCGCTGTATCTTCGCTTCGGAATGAGCCCTCGCAGCCACCTGCCCAGTGCAGATGGTGAGTTTTTGTGTCTCGTTCGCCAGTGCCAGTAGGTGGGAGTCCCCTTTTACCAGATTTTTTTTTTAGATTTTATTTGGGCAAGGCGGTCGTAGGAGATTTACCCGGGGAATATTAGCTGTTCCGAGTTTTCCTCGTCTTCTTTCGTACGGCTGATGTAGATGCAGAGCAGCGACTACAATTTCACATCCAGTTGGTCAAGCCAGACATCCGCGTCAGGAGTAAGCGGTGTGTAGTCGCTGTGATGTCTTCTTCGCATTTGTGGATGGCGGAATTGCGTCGTTATACGTCGTACGGTCCGTTCTGGATGACCACAGTCGCACGCAACTGGATAGTTTTTAAGTTTCCTTTTGTGCGTCACCTATCTGCATCTCCTGCTGCCATGGTTTGTGCAGTGGATGCGGCTTAGGGTGGACTGTTACTTTGTGGAAGGGTGGTTCCCCCATGAGCTTCGAGTTTCTCGGTGAGAGGGTGCCCTTTGAGAGAGGGCTTCCGAGCTCTCGGGTGCTGGAGGATGAGGCATGGGCCTCGTGGAGGTTCGAGAGGAAAGCGCCGTTTTGCGAGACTCTCGGAGATTGACGTCTGAAAGTGCCGCCGCACGTACGCTCACTACGCTGGCACGCACAGCCGCTCGCGTGCCTGAGACCTGGTCTACAGAACCGTTCTTGTCCTGCGTGGGTTATTGCTTCGGCACAAGGGCAGTATTAAAATACACAACAGCTGCCCTTCGCCATTTAAGCAGCGGTAACATCTCTTGCGCCGTCTCAGGTCATGTGATGTGTCGATGGATTCCTGACAGGGGGTCACGAGACACACCCAGGTGTTAAGGGTTACCTGATATGACTGGCAAATGCACTACCTATGCTGTTAACTTGCTTTGTTTTAGCCGCCTGGCTCGTTGTTGTGAGCACCACCACTCGGCTGTAGCTCGATTTCGACTGCTTCAAACTTATCAGTGGCGTCCTTCACAGAAGCCAATCTTGACACCGCTGGTACTAGTTGTCATGATGAAGTCCGCACACCTCCAGTACTTATGGCACCCGAAATGGCCCGTTGAGCCTCCTCTTTCCAGGCATGCAGATAGATGCTGCTTTGTCACAAATACGCAATTCGCATGCATACACCACAGCACAGTGTTGCACAGTGACCGGGCGTGACATCTGCCTGCCCCCGATGAAAGGTTGCGGCTGCCACCCACCGCCGTCTCCCCGGGCGAGCGGGCGTTGACCAAACAGAGCCCCCCGTGCTCTTGACCACTCTCCGCCACGCGTGCGCGGGTGTTATGTTTTTAAAATTTATTTTAGTCTCGCTTTATGTCGCAAGCACTTCCCGTGGCTGTCACGGCCCACCTGAGCAAAGCGGGTGGCACACACTCGCGGGCACCGTCGGCCGATTAGCCTTGAGCTGCCCCGAGCTGCCCCGAGCTGCCCCAGCTGCGCGATGTCTCTGCAAGTCCCCGTGGCGATCCAGCAGCACTTGGTCGCTGATGCTATTTCAGGCTTTCGGTTTTTGGTGTATGCAGAGTCCCCTGGTGCCCGTCTACCTAAACCAGTTGTTCTTAACCTGGGGTTCACGCATCCCTTGGGGGTGCGTGATGCCCTTTCTGGGGGTGTGAGATATGCCAGATTTTTTTAGAAGGTAAATCGTCAAAAACATTATTAAACACGGGCACGTAAGTACAAAAACTTTGTTTCAAGGCTGCAGTGAAGTTAAAGAGCCACTGACCTAAACCAATCACACGCAGCACGTACAGACTGAAAATAAGCGATTTTAAAACAACGGTTTATTCTTTATTTTTTTTGTCCAAATTTAATCCTGGTTGTGCTATTGACATCGTGAGATGAAGAATTAATTAAAATCTCGGAGCAGCGCGTCTCTGTTAGAGAACAGCCCACGGAAGCGGATATCACAGAGCTACCTCTTGAGATGCCTTCAAGTTAACTCTGTCCCACACAGTAGGGGGTAGCACTTTCCCGTCGACCCTGTCGCTAAAAGTGTAATATGTAGTCTCATGATAGCCAAAGGAACATATTTAATTCTCACAGCTGCAATTTAGCCAGCGAAGTGTAGAGTCAAATATAATGCGATGGCGTTTTTTTCGTGCAGTCATTGGTGTTCTGGCCGATCCCATCGGCTGCGTCAATTCGAAAAACCCTGTTGAATCATAGGCAGTGGCTGAAACCTGAATTTGAACCTAGGACCTCAGCAGTGGCGGCTCAGCCCTCTGATCTCTGAGCCGCTTGTCCTCTCAACAGTAGATCGTGAAGGCAACGTTAATGAAGACTAACGAACAAAATTATCTTGAAGCAAAATAGGGCTTTAAACGTTAGCTTTGTCCACGTTTGCTTCGACTACTACTAACCCTTTTGCGAATAGTGTCGCGGAATCTTTAATGTCCACTGTGACACTGTGGACGGCACAACAAACGCCACTGATTAATCCACGCGGCAGCATTAACCAGGGGCGGCCCCCTGGACTTGAACCGCTAACGTTTGCGACAAGCGCCTCCGGCCGCCCGTCTTGAAAGTGATTTCTTTTGCACGTGCGGCAAGCGCTCCGATTGGCCGGCTGGGTGGGGGGGTGACTCGGAAGTCAAGACGCCAGCGGCATCTTTGTCCAACGTCGGTCGGCCGCATTGTTAATCGTCGCGGCGACGAGGAGGAGATGATGGCTATGGCGTGCCTTTTTGTATTGGTCGACGCGGGGGTCGTTCGGAGGTTAGCGCGATGAACCGGCACGACCTTGATGATCACCGGCACCTTCAATCATTTATCGTGCTGGGTGCACAACGCAAGTTAACATTTAACATTGAATTGCATTATCGCACATATGTATGTTGGGCTTATTTTCGCACTGTACGTAGCCAACCGTGCTGATCGGTGGTGCGGCATGAGGACATGAAACCAAACGCAATGAGTAGTTCTCAAGAAATGAGTGTTCAATCGAGATTACACCAAGCATTATCGAAATTTAATGAACAAGATGTGAAATGCAGCGTGTGTTGTACTGCTTTTAGTTTGATGACCTTCCCCCGCGCCTCCGATTAAGCACGGTTGGCTACCGATGGTGCGTATAGAAGTTCAACGTACACACACCCGTTGTATCGATGGGACGGCACATATCACGTCGCGTTTTTCAGCAGGCGACCCTGGCCGAGCCGGCAAAAGGTCACCGATTTACGGGCGCCGCGTTGACGGAAGCTGACCCCGTGCGTGTGCGTCTGCGTGCGTTTGGCCGCCTTTGCAGACCTGACGGCATGCACCAACGAGATCAACGTGAGCATCCCGCAGCTGGCCGACACGCTGTTCGAGCGCGCCGTCAACAGCAGCTGGGTGGTGGTGTTCAAAGCGCTCGTCACCACGCACCACCTCATGTGCTACGGGAACGAGGTACGGGGGGGGGAGGGGGGAGGGGGGAGGTGAGTGGCCCCTCTGCGTGGGAAAGTGGCGGTTCCGTCGAGTTTGACGCGGTAACCTTGAACTGACTAAGACGAAACTATTTCTCTTGTACCTGGCTATCATAAATGAATCGGACTCTTTGTTTAGACTGGAGGAACCCAATGAGCTATGAAGCTCTTTTTCACTGATGTCCAGTAGGGGCACGGGATCGGCAAGTTACAGCAATGATCCAAAAACCGATGGGAAAGGTGAGCAAGTCACTAAAAAACGAAAAAAATTAGGTCAAGTATGCAAGTACAAATTGAAAAAGTGGATACATTCCTGTCGATTTTTTTTTTACAACAAATGCAGGCTTGGGCTAGGCAGAAAAACAACAACAGCATCAGTCTCAGACCACAGCAAGACAACACACAGTCCCATCAAAGTTACGAAGCACATTTGCAAATGTGGTTATAATAAACGTGGTTATATCCAGCACTCTAAAATGCATGTTGATTCTAAATGTATAGGGAAAAACCAGAGGACCCGGAGAAAAATTCACGCAACCACAGAGAAAGAGACTGACACGCAAACTCCAAATATACAGCAGGCGTCAAGGGGTCGGGTTCTAACCCACGACCTCCTGTGTACCAGGCGAGGTACTTAACATCTCGCCACCGTACCGTTGACCTGTGCTCCGTTGCATAAAATATCTCGAGTGACATCTGTCACTTTGTTTGGGCAGCAGGGTTGTGCAATGGTGTACCGCTTGTTGCCTCACAGCAAGAAGCGCCTGGGTTCGATACCCGACTCGGTGCGTCTTTCTGTGTGGCGTTTGTACGTTCTCCCACCGTTCAACGTGGGTTTTCTGGTTTCCTCCCTGAGCTATTATATACAAAAAACCATACACTCTTAATTGAAATTGGCCAAACATACCAATGCTGAAAATTGTCATGATTCTGGGTCGTGATTCCATTCAGGGATCATCGAGCTCTCCAGAGCCCACTCCAGTGGAAGCCCCATCTGCCAATAGCGGCAAGAGCTGGCAGTTGCAGGGCTGCACCTTTTACCCTCCTGCACTATTCTCAGGACAACAAGAGGGCTCCATTAAATTGTTTAAAAGCGTCTTGTCATTTTCTTATATCGCGATAATCGCCGAGTCGCGATACTGACAATCGACGTTGGGTATCGTTAAAAAAAAAAAATGTCGCGGCAAGCTCGGTGACGGTCGTTCCCGTTTTATCGCGCAGCGCTTCATCCAGTACCTGGCCTCCAGGAACACCCTGTTCAACCTGGCCAACTACGTGGACAAGAGCGGCGTCCAAGGTAGTGGTCGGTGGGGTGGCTGGGCAGCCGCGTTCTCGTTGCGTGCGGTGGGGGGGCTCGGCAAGACGTCCCCCGTGCGCGCGTGTGGGACTTGGTCACCTTCGGCTTCTTCTTTCGCAGCGCACGTCGCCGACCGTGCTAATGGGTTGTCTCGCACGACGTTGTTCCGTGGCGCCCGGGCCCACCTGTGTGTGTGTATGTTGAACTTCTTTCGCACCGTATGTAGCCAACTGTGCTAATCGGAGGTGCGAGTATGAGTGTGTGTGTGTATGTTGAACTTCTTTCGCACCGTGCGTAGCCAACCGTGCTAATCGGAGGTGCGAGCATGTGTGTATGTATGTTGAACTTATTTTGCATCGTGCGTAGCCAACTGTGCTAATCGGAGGTGCGAGTATGTGTGTGTATGTTGAACTTCTTTCTCACCGTATGTAGCCAACTGTGCTAATCGGAGGTGCGAGTGTGTGTGTGTGTATGTTGAACTTCTTTCTCACCGTACATAGCCAACCGTGCTAATCGGAGGTGCGAGTATGTGTGTGTATGTTGAACTTCTTTCGCATCGTATGTAGCCAACCGTGCTAATCGGAGGTGCGAGTATGTGTGTGTGTATGTTGAACTTATTTTGCACTGTACATAGCCAACCGCGCTAATAGGAGGTGTGGGGCAGCTCAGTGATTTCAGATGAACATGTGTGCTTGTGTCAGACCGCGGATTTGTTACTTAGTTTTTTTTCTTCCAGAGTTTGTCCTTTTGATGTTTGACTGGGTTTGAAACGACAGATCGCGTATCTTGTTGCTTCAATTAGTTGCGAAAATTGTTATTCAACCGACCGGTGTTGGAGCCGCAGCAATAATAATTGGCGCGTGGACGCGCCTGTGCACCACGCGACATTCGTTTGTTTGACTTTGTCGGCCGGTGGAGGGCTTCCAATGCCACTGATTTGGTCAGATCGTGAGGGCGGCCCAAACCAAATGGATGGCACCGCCGAGATCCTGCGTTCGAATCCAAATCTGCCACCCGTGATTTCACTGGGGGCTCGAGTTAAGGGAGTCGACGGGATCAGCCCGCTCGCCCAACGACTGCTTCACAAAGAAATTTTGCTCTGCGCTTCCTTGGGCTGCGTCGGAGCTCTGAGAATGAAACTTGTACACGACTGTCATGCGACGAACATTAACTTCGGTGGCAGGGCGGATGGGAAAGTGTTTGCCCCCCCCCACCCCTGCTGTGTGCACCAGCGGTCGATTGAAGGAATTTCAGAGATAGCTCTGTACTTCCTTGGGTCGTTGGGTAGCAAAAGTAGTTGCTGTCCGAGAGAAGATTGAAATTGGATACCTTTGGCTCGTGGCGTAAGACCGATTGCGTATTCGGGATAAAATCGTGGAAAGTTATTTTGTAAAAAAAAAAAAATAACTTTAGTGATGTCACATGGTCTGGAGGGAGAAACCAGCGACTGTAATACAAGTGAATTTAATACCCCGTAACAAAATGTACCGAAACTGAAACCTGAAAAACATTTAATTAAAGCCGTTTGCAGTAGGATGGGGGGGGGGAAAGCGCGGTAACGTGTAACTCGAATAACCCCGATTGACCACGCTCCACGCCGACTGTCGATGTCCATCCTGGGGGCCGCGCTCGCCCACGCCACGTAACCGGTGTTGCCCGCGGCACGCACGCACACAGAGCTCAGTTCATTCACACGCGGCCTTGGTGGAGGGGGGGCGGCCAGTTTAGCGCCACACCTGGCGCTGGTCCGGCCGACACAATGTTGTTCCTGTGTGCCCGGCGGCCGGGCCTGACCGGCGGGCAAAGTGGCACGGCGGCGAGGGTGCGGCCGACCACGCCCTCGCAAATCGCCGCTGCTGCGGGCCGCCTCTGCGGAGTCGTGTTATTAATTGGGCGGCCGCTAGCCGGCGGCTCGAGTTGCGTGGCGGGGGGGGTGGTGGGCGAGGAGGGGGGGGGGGGAACTAAAGAAATAAAAAAGACAACGCGCCAATAAAAAACAGATGCGTTTGACGTCGGTGAGCTTGGATTGGATTTTTGTTTGGTTTAAAGCAGCGACGAAGACATTTTTTTGTGACCGTTGTTGCAGGGTCGAAGCTGCCTCCAAGTCATTATTTGATTGGCGGCAGGTCGCTCGTTCTCCTCTGCTGCCCCTGCTACCCCCCCCCCCATACCAGTGATCTGTGGCGTCCACTCCCTGTCCCCGTTCAAATCTACAAGTGTGTGGGACGTGTGTGGGCCGTGTGTGTGCGTGCGCGCTGGTGCCTGATTAGGTCAACTCTGACTTATATTGGTGCCTGGTGCGGTGCGTAAACATCGTCCCCACGCAGACAAACACTGCCATGTACGGTGCTGGCTACATCGCTGTTTGTGTGCAGTGCCAGCCTTAATAGGTGCTCACTAACAGCACTTGCGTGAACGTTCAACGTAGGACTGCACGGTTGAGCTTTGTTGCCTGCTGGAGTGTGTGTTAGCGTGTAAAGTGCTGTGATTGTGTAGGTGTTTTTGTGTTGTGCGTATGTGTTGACAATTTTACGTATGTACGTTGAACTTCTTTCACACCGTACATAGCCAAGCGTGCTAATCGGAGGTCCGGGGGATGAACAACGAAGGACACTTTGAATAAGAATGCGTTTTGTTATTGGCTGCGTACATTGTGGTGGATGTGAATGCACGTGGATTTGTGTCTCCAATTTGTGCCGTGTTATTTGCGCGTAAACGTGCGCTTTTGCTTTGGCGGGGCTAGTGTGTGTGTGTGTGCGTATCGTGGCGGGGACACGTGTGGTGCTGTGTTTGTACGTGCGTGTCGTGGTGTGGGTGCGTGTGTTGCGGATGCATGCTGCTGCGTCTTCGCTCGTGAGTGCATGTACGTACTGGACATCTCTGAAAAAGAGCTTCATAGGTCATCGGATTTCTCCAGTCTAAATAAGGATTCTGATGTACGTTGAACTTCTTTTGCTCCGTCCGTAGCCCGGGAACGTTTGTGTGTGTTTTTTTGTGTCGCGTTGTGCGGAGGCACATCACTTTACAGAGGCGCGCGGCTCTCTCGTGTTACAAGCGTGTGGCCTGTGATGTTATTCGACGGGAGCCACGCGTGTTTAGCGGGTGTGCACGTGTGTGTTGGCGCGTGTTTTGCGTTGCATGTGTATTTAATAGAGGCACGCTTTTGTGCTTCAGACATGTGCATATTGCGGTGCAAGTCTACGGAGCACGTCTTTTTTGTGCTGCGTGTTGTTTTCCCGTGTGTGTTATTGTCTTGTTGACGTGCGTATGCGTTTGTAGGTGTGCGCTGGTGTTTGACGTGGAAGTTAAAAAGGGACGCATGTGTTGGGTGTGCCGCTGTGCGAGCTAGCGTCAGTGCAGCGGTTGTTGCACGGCGCTGCGAGCCAAGCGACCCGGGTCCTGGGCCCTCCCCAAGGTCGACTCGGCCTTAAAACGAGTAGCTGGTGCGGTGTGTAAACATCGGCACTGCAGAGGCAAAAGTGGCCTCGCGTATTGCTGGCCACCCAATCCCTCATGTGGTCACATACCATCCTCAGTAGGTGCTCGCTAACAACACTTGCCCAAACAGTTTGTTTAAAGCCTGTGTACAGGACGTAAGGGGGGTATCTTTTTGTCTTTGATGTGTGCATAAGCTAACAGGGACACGCTGTGCTGTGCTGTGTTGTTGTGGGGCCGGGCAGGTTACGACATGTCTACGTTCATCCGGAGGTACAGCAAGTACCTGAACGAGAAGGCCTACTCCTACAGGCAGATGGCTTTTGACTTCACACGGATAAAGCGCGGGTGAGTGAAAGGCGCCTGCACCTATCGGTGATAGGCAGGCAAGATGCTGCCACCATCTCATATCTGTCTCCTCCACATGAAACGGTGTTTTTTTTTTAAACATTCCATGAGTCACATGGCATTTTAGGAGTTCATAATTTTCAGCAGTATTGGTTTTACACAAGAAAAACTCTGGACCAGTTGCTTGAACCAATGCTAGTGAACTGCCCTGATGTTTATAGGATCCTGCCTGTTAGATTTAGATCCCTAGTCGGGTACATCACTGTATATAATACCACAATGTGACTATTTTTTTAACACCTCTATCAGCAATCGCTACGGGGTCCCATGGCCAAATCGCCTGGAATGTTGTCGTTTTTTGTCGCATTTCGGAAAGCTAAAAGGGCGTTCGGGCCTGAATAGCGTTCCGATGGCCGACCACGATGCTCGCCAGGTTGTCGTAGGCGGCTGCAGGGTCACGTTGTGGTCCCCCAAGAGGCCAGTGCGGCAAAACCCATTGCTTCTACGCTCTCACGTGTGGTGCTCCTGGCGATAAATTAGGCTCATCGTCGGCAGATTTGGGTCCCGTGTCCTTAACCCAGCTCGATCCGAGGGTTGCCTGCGAAATGGACAATCCTACATCACAGGGCTCTCTGTCTTTGGCAGTTCTTGCGACGAGTTGTCCCAAGCAGCAGCGTCATCATCCCATCGTCTTTTCCCCGTGGGACGCGGCTTCGCCGCTTGAGCGCCTCTTCAGTAGTGACCGTCTTTGGACGGATTCGAGTTTGTAAAGCCCATCGAGACGGGGAACCTCATTTAAATCACCGGGAACCCTGGGTTCAAGTGAAGACAACAACGTGGCACAAATTCAAGCGCACGGGCAAAACAAGCACAGAGCGACCCCCCACTTGGAGACGTTTGGACGCGCAAAATTATCTTGGCAAGTCAACCAACCCGCGTTGAACCAGCGTGGCGAAGTATGGTCAGACGGACCCCCATGACCCGCATCGGGGGTGACGGGATACCTTCGTCCAGCGGTGGATTGACTCGAGGGGCGGTACATGCAAAGACCGCACGCTTCCAACGTTTCCCGCGCCGACTTAATCCCGGGTTCTTAAACAACGAAGCGGATGAAAAGTACGCTGCGTGTGCACGCGCGCTTTCCCGCTCGCGTCTCACCGCCTGTTAGCGTTTTTCATCGGCCGACGGGGTGGGGGGGGGGGGGGGCCGCCTGCCGCGGGGACGTCCTGTCGATGGCGTTGCCTCATTTTGAAAGTCCGCGGGGGTTGGTGACCTCTCCCTTCCTCTCGGGCGCCGCTCCGCGCGGTGTTGCCCCTCCCCCCCCCCCCCCCCCCCCGGGGGGGGAGCGGTGGGTGGGGGGGTCTTATTTTAATGGCTTTAACGTGTGGCGGTCAAACGCCACGCGCTTTGGCAGGCGGGCGGTCGGCCGGAGAGGAAATGCCGTCATCACGGGCGTGCGGATGTGGCTGGGAGCGGGAGGCGTGCACGTGTCCCCGCGGTCCTACGGGGGGGGGGGGGACGCGGACGCGACGAACGAGGGGGCACGGAGGACAGACGGACGTTATATTGTGCGCTACCGGGCAACCGTTATAATAATACAAAAATAATGTGTAACTCGCACGTTTTTTCGAAAAGGCGAGAAGACAATTTCCGGCCGTGACACGGAGGCTAGGCGTGCGGGGTGGGGGGGGAGGGCTCCTCGTACGAGACGCACGAACGCGACCTTGAACTGCCTCTTGGAAGTGCCGGTGAACGCTTCACATTCTCAACAGCTGTTGGTGTTGAGAATGGGAAGCGGGAGATGCGATTTCAAATGATTAATAATCATTTAGATTTATAATGCACATTCCATCCGAGGATCCCAACTAAAACTAAACTATTTTTATTTTACCGGATAAGGCACACTGAGCTATGTAGCTTTTTTCAGAAGCGGCCTGGACGCTAATGATAGCTCAACGAAGAGGCTTATCACTTGGAAATTTATAGCAGCCAAATACTCTCAATGCATGTTTCTGAGGACCCGGAGAAAAATCCACGTGACCACGGGGAGAACACGCAAATTCCAAATATACAGCAGGTGTCAGGGGTAGGGATCGAACCCACGACCTCCTGCATACCAGGCGAGGTAGTTAACATCTTGCAGGCATGGCGCCTGGCAAGATGTTCAGCCGCGTAGAAAGCGGTGCTCAACCAGGACAGTCTTGGTTCAGGGTGCTACGGTGACGAACGAGTGGATGAATGATGTCCTGAGTGCACAGGGCGTTGACTTAGTGCCCGTGTTTGGAGGAGTTACGACCAGATCTCACGTTAGAGGACGGTTGACATTAGTGGGGAGAGAACAAGGGAGAGCCGAGTTGAAATAGCTCCAGCAAAGTGGCAACTTCCAGTGTCCAACCATAACAATGCGCTTTTGCGGCCGTCTGAAACGCTCTTCCTTCCGATGTTAGGAAGCCACTGGAGCTATGCACCTTTAAATCGAGATTGAAAATGTATTTCTCTCTTACTGCTTTTTATTTTTGGGTTGTTGTCATCCCTTCCCCCTGCACCTCCGATTAGCACGCTTGGCTACGTTGCGGTGCAAAACAAGTTCAACATGCATACGGTTGCATGTTAAATAATAACTAGTCAAGTTAATCGATTAGATACTTAATATGCATTTTGTAATGTATGGCCACGTTGTCAAAAGAGAGCGCAGTGCAGAAAAAAAGTCTACTGCTGTACCGTACTTCAATGCTCCTGCAGTTTTGCTCCCCGCCCGCACAAACCCCGCGCTGACCAGCGTGGTGAAGTATGGTCAAATGACCCCCTGCGACCCGAGCAAAGTGGAGAGGCCCTCATAATAATAATCGCACTTACATAGCGCTTATCATGAAGGATCCCAAAGCTTTGTACAGAACACAGCAGCCAGCAGCAGACACTCGGTATAAAAATAATATTATAAATACGTACGAGGAGCGTATCGACCAGAGGGCTGTAGATCCACAAAGGCGGTGGGTGGGGGGGCCTCATCTATGCTGGACCAGCGGCCCCCCAAGAGGCCGGAAACTCAGGGCAGGCCAAGCACGACCGCGGTGATGGGGAAGCGATGACGACACTGACATCATCAGCCCCCCCCCCCCCCGCACCCCCACCTTGACCTCGATTTGCATATCATTTGTGTCGCGTACATTTTTGCGGGCCTGAATTTATGGAAATAAAGGTGCACGTTTTGTATGGCAATCTTTCGTTAGCTTTGTCGAAAGCAATATTCGATTTTTAGATCGATGAAAGCAATTGATTTGGGACAGAAAGAGGAACAAGTGGTGGTGACCTCCAGGGTGGATCGTTGACCTCCAGGGTGGATCGTTGACCTCCAGGGTGGATCGTCGCTTGTTTGTGAAGGAGGGAGTGAGAGAGAGCGAGAGAGGGGGGGGTGCGTGACTGGGCAATATCGGCCGCATTCCTCCCTGCCTCGTTTGGGCAACATTCTTCTTGTGCCGGTGTCTTTCTTTTTTTTTTGCGTTGTGTTTGTTTGCTCTCTGTGTTTGACTGTCAAAATACGGAGGAGGAGGAGGAAGAAAAAAAACGAACTGACACGCACACGCAGAAAACTCCTCCTGGCCTCGTGGGCTCTGAAGGCAGATTTCTTTTGCCGCCCCCCTCCCTCCCCCCACTTCTTTGGGACCCCAGCGTTTCTGCCCGCCGAGCGACGGGTTAAAAAGCGCGTTGAGAGGAGCTTTCGGCGGGAGCGGTGTGTGCCCGCGGTGTAAACTATTATTTTATTATTTCCCTTCTGCGTGACTTTACCGAAAGAACCAAGAATATGAATTTTTTTTTTTTAGTTTACCAGGTAAGGCCCACTGAGCTAGCTTTTTTTCAGAAGCGACCAGGCCGTCACAAACGATAGCCCAACGAAGCGGCGTATCGCGTGGAAATTTATATCAGCAGCCAAAAACTCTCAACGCGTGATGTTGATTCTAAACGTGGAGGGAAAAACTGTTAGACCCGGAGAAAAATCCACGCGACCTCCAAATATACAGCAGGCCTCGGGGTCGGGATCGAGCCCACGACCTCCTGTATATCAGGCGACGGAGTTAACATCTCGCCACCGCGGCGCCCATCGCTGCCATTGGGATGGCAAAGCTAGAGGCGGTGTGGCGGTTGTCACCGTTTCCCATGTTTCGGTACCCGGTGGGGGTGGGGGAGGTAATGCGATGGTTTCTTCGTTGTCATCATGGCTACTGCTGCTGCTACGCCTGCCTTCAGGCTGTTTGTTCCGGCACGGGCAGAATCTCGGGACTTGGCTCCTGCGGCGGAAGCAGGTTGGGCCGTGGGTGCATGGGCTGACACAGCACGATGGGAGAGAGTGTGTGGTGAGCGAGGGGTACGGTGTGCGAGCATTGTTGCGGCCGGGTGGGTGTGTCCGAGTGAGTGTGTAGTGGTAGTGTGAGTGGGGAGCGGCAGTGGAGTGGTTATCGCGCTGTGTTACGAACCCCGAGTTCGATTCCCTCTCACGGCCACCAACACCACACCAGTGACCATTATCTGTACCGGTCCTGGGGCCTCCCCTAGGGCACCTCTGATTAGCACGATTGACTACTACGTACGATGTGAAAGAAGTTCGACATGCATACAAATGAGTACCTGGTGTGATGTGTAACATCGCCACTCGGAAGACAAAGGCGGACGGGCGTGGTGCTGGCCAATTGTCACCTCGCGTGTCTTTGAGGCATTTGTAGGTGCTACTCGCTAACAGCACCTTGCTCCAACAGCCTGTTGAAGGCTATATGGGGGATCTTTGTCTTTTTGTGTGAGTGGGTGGGCGAGTGAACAAGAAAGTGATTGAGTGGGTGAGCAAGCAAGTGACCGAGTGATTGAATAACTGAGGCGAGTTAGATTGCGTGAATGGGTGAGTGAGCGAGTACCATTGTGAGTGCGCGTGTAAGTGGGTAACTTATTGAGTGACTGGGTGAGTAAGTGAGTGGTTCAAAGCAGTTGTGTGACTCAGTGAGATCAAGTGAGCGAGCAAGTGAGTGTGTGTGTGTGAATGATGGCCTAAATGAACGAGGGGCGAATGGGTTGAGTTTGTACGTGTGTTACGGGAGATGGTGGCGTAGTTGCTCGCGCACCGCTTTAACATTTGGCGACCCGAGTCACGGGGAAGGACTATCGGCGATATCAGTACCCGGCTTGATTGGGCCCCCCTCCCTGTTAGGTCGGCTCAGCCTTCAGTGAGTACTTGGTGGGGCGTGCAAACATCAAGCCCGTGCTTTGTACAAGTGTGAACCGGCTGCGGTGGGGACCTGAACCGTGAAGGTGACCACTTCTGACACCTCGCCCTGACCGGATTTCGCCGAATCTGGCCAGCGTGCCAGAGTCGCCGCCAGCCGGCCACGGGGGGGGGGGGGGGGGAGGTGCCACAAAACTAGCCTTGGAACGATCCATCATCATTATCATCAGCCATGGATCGATCAGTCCACTGCTGGATGAAGGCCTCCCTAAGCGATGGCAATCTCGTTTTCAAGCTGCAGCGCGTACAGAATTCCCTGGCACGTGTCATGACGGCGGTGCCACAAGATCCGACCGCGTCCGTCCGGTGCTCGCCGAGTCGCATCGGCTTCTGGTTGCCGAACGAATCCGTTGTTGTGTGGTCGCGCTCGTTACACACAAAGTGCTTGCCACAAAATGAACCACGGTACCTCGCTGATCTCGTGAAGGAGCATAAACCGTCATCACGTGAACTCCGGTCATCCTCGCAGCAGCGGCATTTTGGGTTGGCCATCGGACAAAGACGGCGGTCACCGAAATCGCGCGGCGCTTTCAGACGCGCTTCTGCGGCCAGTTGGAACACCTTTCCTTCCGATATTGAGAAGCCACTGGGAGCGATGCACTTTTAAGTCGCACAGATTGAAAAATGTATTTCTTTCGAAGCTGCCTTTTTGTGTTTAGTTTGTTATCCTCGCGCGGTTTGGCTACGTACGGTGCGAAAGAAGTTTACCACACACACACACATCTCTCCCCATTGCTCTGCGATGCAGCAATCCACCCGGCACCTTCGCGCGGGCTGCTTTCATCACTCCATCTCCTCGGTGGACGTCCACTTGTACTTGTACATGCCTTCCGCTCTCTGGCTGCCGCTCTTGTCACTTCTTGACCCCCACCGGCCATCGTCCCTTGCAGCGACTTGTCTCGCCCATGCCCGTTCAGCTTTTTTCGACCTCCTTTTACTCGCGTGCGTGCGCTCGCACCCCCCACCGCCGTACGTACGTCACATGCGTTGCTGCAAGAGGCCTGTGCAGTAACAGGAGTGACTTGAGGGCGGCTCCGAAATGAAAAGTATACCATTCTCTTAAGTAATTACCTGTGGTGTTTTGTGCGCCGCTTAATAATAATTCGGCAACTTGTAAAGCGCGCAGTTTTTGCGCGAACGGAGCGCGGCTCGTGAGCGTTCACGAGGGCCCTATGTTTTCACGCCTTGCGATCTTTACAGAACATATCTGACTTGAGTCCACTGCAGGAGTGGCCGACCGACAGATCGTGAGGCAGCGATTAGCAGGGAGCTCTGCGTAGACCTGCAGGGTCCGTGTCGCCCCTAGTCTCGGACTCCGTTAGTGCAGCCATAATATGCTGGCAGTGGCGGAAATATATCGATCACAGCCTGTTTTAAAGTAGTGTTTGACGTGCTACACTACGAACCAGGCAACCTGAGCTCGATTCCTGCTCGCGACCAACATTGGTGACGAATCGCTGAACCGGTTCTGGGCCTCCCCTAGGTCGACTAGGCCTTAAATTAGTAACTGCTGAGGTGTGTAAACACCACGACTCGGGAGACAAAGGTGGCCCGGCATAGCACTGGCCACCCACCCCCCTCCTTGTGTGCCTTTCCAACCAATCATGGGTGTTACTCGCTATAACAGCACTTACCCCAACGGTCTTTATTAAAAGGCTGTCCGTTTTGTGTGTGCAGGGTGGAGGGCGTGATGAGGACCATGAACACGGAGAAGCTGCTGAAGACGCTGCCCATCGTGCAGAGCCAGCTCGACGCTCTGCTCGACTTTGAGGTGCGTGGGCATCGGTGGTGGTAGTTGTTGGTGCCATTCAAAACTTACATTTTAGGCCCACTGAGCTATATGGCGCTTTTTCAGAAGTGACATGGCTATCACAAATGGTAGCTCAACGAAGCGGCTTATCATCACGTGTAAATTTACAGCGACCAAATACTCTTAAACGCAGACTCGGAGAAAAATCTACGCGACCACAGGGACAGAGAACATGCAAACTCCAAATTTACGGGCGTCGGGGTTGGGGGTCGAACCCGCGACCTCCTGTATACCTGGCGTGGTAGTTAACATCTCGCCACGGCGGTGCTCACGGTAACGAGGGGCGGCGCCGCTGGTGCCCGTGAAACTGCCATTAGTTCGCGTGTAGCGATTCCCGGATTAAAATTGATAATTGGGCTCAGAACCCGCCTGTGCAACTCTGCCTTCGTGATCGCATTGCGCGATAAGCGTGGCGCAGATACCAAGTGGAATCTTTATTATTAGTTTGCGAGTAAGGGGGAGGTAGGGGGCGGGATTTTGTAGCTGCTCACCCAGAGCTATACATGCCCTGATAGTGCATTGTCTTTGTACTCTTTGCCTTTTCGCGTTCTCTGGTCTGACACTGGTGAGACTGGGCCCTACGGAAGGAGTGTAGCCCAATCACTTTCAAAGACAATACATATATTATATTCTTGGTTCTTTCGGTAAAGTCACGTAGAAGGGAAACAAAATAATAATAGAATAATAAAAATAGAACAATATTGTTTTATATTTTTATTATTTTAATGTTTCCCTTCCACGTGACTTTACCGAAAGAACCAAGAATATGAATCCCTGCAGTCACGAAAGCTTTAAATCAAAATGCATATATTATCAGAGCATGTTTTGTTTGCATGTTCAACACAGGTACGTGTGGTTAATGCAGACTTGGTTCCTTGCAAAAGGTTTCTGTTTGGTGTTCGAACATCTTAACACCAGCTGTATTGCCAGAAAGGGCAAAACTTATTCCTATTTTTTCATACATGTGCAGGATGTTTGATTGAATGCCTCGGCAACCCCAAGCGCCGTATATCCCATCTCATCTCAACCATTCCATTGTCTTGCTGCAGTCTAGCCAACGGGGATTCCCCAGGGCCAGCCATTTCTGTGCAGCGTGAGGTGCACACAGTGATGTCTGCCAGGAGGGGGACGATGTTGTTATTTGTTTTTCATGATAAAATAATTTTGCGAGTAGATATTTTCGTAACATTTTTTTTACATTTTGCTTGGCACATTTGCATTGTGATGCCCGGCACACGTGGGGCTAACTCGGTTTTTGTTAATGCCACGGGATCTTTAACGTCCACTGCGCCGCGTATTTTTACGGCTGATACGCCCGCAGCATTAACCGGGGCCGGCCGGTGGCCTCGAACCGTGAACCCCCTCTGCAACAAGAGGCTAAAGCGCCACCGCTCGGCCGAGTCATAACTGCACATCGGTGAAAAAGAGCTTCACAGCTAATCGGATTCCTCCGGCATAAAAAAAAATATTTTATTAGCTCGCCGACGTAAATCCTTCGGATTCCTGCCTTACCGAGCGTGCGCGGTGGCGGGGTTCTGTCAATCGACGGCGCACTAAGACCCCCCCGCATGGCCGGCACGCTGCCTTACGTAGCGCCACGGTGACCCCCTCCACCCCACCGCCCACCGCCGGCGCCTGGTGGGGGGGGGGGTGGGGAAGGACCAGGGAGCTGTAAACTCCCTTGCGATTTCCCAACACGCCCATTCCATTAGCGGACGGAGAGAAAGCCGACCGACCTTGCGATGCCTAACGTGCGCGCGGAGGCTTTTACGAGCACCAGAGGCGCGGCAGCCCGCGGTTACCGCGAGCCGCCGTGGCCCTAACCTCGTGATTAATTAATGCTCGTCGAGTCCAGAGCTGGGCTCGGGAGGGAGCGTGTGCGTTGCGTGTGTCTAGGTCGGAATGGGATCTTGTCTCGGATAAAATTAGCTCACGTGTTTTGTGTCCTGTGGGGTGTGTGTGTGTGTGTGTGCGCCCTCTGTATCCATAATTGTATGCCAAGACAAAGACAAAGATGCCCCGTGTCATCTACACAGTCTGTAGGACCAAGTATTGCTGGCTAGCACCTATTATAAGGCTGGCACAGCCCCACGAGGGGGTAAACTGCCAAATTGTTAAATTACCCGCTAATTGCTTAATAGGGGCTTATACATAGCCATCGTCAAAACCTCTACTGGCAAGACTAATGTCCCAGGTCACTCTTGAAAATTAGACTGATCCCGGCCTACCCGAGTTCTCTGCTGGATAAACAAAATAAACTTGAACTTGATTTTCCATAAAGATTGTTTCCCTCTGGCCACCGAGGAGTGGCTGGGACAGAGCGATGAAGGCCGAGCGGATCCAGGCCGTGGCCGTCGATCCGGGAATGGCCCAGGTCCATCGCTGGGCCGCCGAGTCGGCTTCGCGCGTGGCCATGACGACGGAGCGCGAGTCTGGCCTACCCGAGACCTGACCCCTCCCCCCCGGCCTCCCTCTTGCGGTCACGTGCGCACAGGTGACGCCCAACGACCTGACGAACGGGGTCATCAACTCGGCCTTCATGCTGCTCTTCAAGGACCTCATCCGTCTCTTCGCCTGCTACAACGACGGCATCATCAACCTCCTCGGTGCGCGCACGCCCCCCCCCCCCCTCCTTTCCTTTCGCCCCCCCCCCCCCGTCGACGTTCTGGGCCGCGCTGCACGAAAAGACTTGAGGGCAAAGCTTGCCCTTAAGGTCCGTGTACAGACAGTCCTCGTTCCTGGTACCCCCTCAGTTCGTTCCTGGTACCCCTTCGTAAGTCAGAACACAGTAATCTTCCGTATTTAAATTCCCACACGCGCGCAAACGCTCGCTCCCAGGACGAGGCTGACTCATTAACATCTCTCGGAGGGTTGCTCAGATGATCAAAATAGTGCCGCGGTTCAATTTGCCTGTTTAACACGCAGGCTTTCACGACCAATATCATCCATAATATAGGTTTCTGTTTTGGTTTAGGTGGCATAAATATAAATGTGGTGTTAAACCTTCCACCAATTGATACAGCCAATTAGTAAGATTTGTCAGGTAAACAGAACGTGGCCAATTCGTTACTAGTACAGCAACACCGGTGTGTTGGAGAGCAAATCCACAACATTTACAATCTGAGTGCGACGTTTCGCCAGCAATTGCAACCGGCATCATCAGGCTGCAGCCAGATTTGTCAGTGAGAGTTCGCGTTTTAAGTAGATGTAAGTAAAAAAAAAATAGATGAAGCTTGTTCGTAAGTGCGGGTGTTGGTAAGTCAGGTGTGCGTAAGTCGAGGACAGACTATCCTGTGGCCACGTTTTCTCTATTGTACCCGTAATAAACAGTAAGGAGCGCTCTTTTTAATTATTTTACAATCTGCTGCTGGACGAAGGCCTCCTTGTGCATTTTGGTCATTGGTGTCGTTTGACCATATTTAGTTTCGCTGGTTTGTGTGTGAACTTCTTTAGCACCGTACGTAGCCAGCCCTGTTAATCGGAGGTGCGGATTGGGGAAGTGTGGGCTGGGGAAGGGTTAAACCCAAGTCTGGTTTCTATATCGCCACTGATGTTAGCCTTGGCCGGGAATCGAGCTTAGGTCGTTGGGTTCATAGAGCAGTGCCCTAACCACTGTGATCTGCTTCAATATAGCAGATGTAACGTATTTCTTAGAAGTGAGGAAGGTTGTAGGAACTTGGGAAAAGAGACGACAGGAGAAGCATTGTGTATTTATGTATGTCGAACTTGTTTTGCACTGTACGTAGCCAGTCGTGCTAGTCGGAGGTACGGGGGAAGGTCACAACAAACTTAACACAAAAATCAGTTTAAAGAATTGAGTTTGTCAAAAAGCAGTTCTAAAGAATGGAGTTTGTCGATCTAAATTTAAAAGTGCATAGCTCCAGTGGATTCCTAATATCGGAAGGAAGAGCGTTCCAGACCTCCGCAGAAGTGCATTTGAAAGCGTGCGATGCAGTGACCGTCTTTGTTTAAAAGAGCACCAAAGCATATTGAAAAAACGTCACTTGGGTATGCTTTTGAAAGACACACACACACAGCCCTGTATTACTTCCACAGCATGAGGATGATTTTTTAATTATTGGTTTTGCAAATTTGTGGAACTGCTGCCCATTGCGGAGTTTTGGCCGATTCCGTTGAATTTAATTTCGTCTCGACGAGATGCAGTGTGTGTGTTTCTAGTGTCACTCGAGAGACAGGAGCATATTACCTGAACAGGCGCTCGCCAACAGCAACTGGCCCAGCGTTGTGTCCAGGCTTACGCGGGTTGTTGCGGTGGGCGGTGGCGGTTGTCTCTGCGGTTGTGGCGCTGCAGAGAAGTACTTTGAGATGAACAAGAAGAATTGTAAAGAGGCGCTGGACCTGTACAAGAAATTCCTCACGCGCATGACACGCGTCTCAGAGTTCCTCAAGGTGGCCGAGGTGAGGTCCGCACGTACGCACGCACAGATGCACATGTGCATCATTTGAGGCCGAGTTGACCTCGGGGAGGCCAAGGACCTGTTCAGATAATCGTCACTGGTGTTGGCCATGAGCGGGAATCGAACCCAGGCCGCCGGGTTCGTAGCGCAGCAAGCACACACACACGCAGATGTGCGTGTGTGGGTACACACACGCACATCTACGTGTGTGGGTACACACACACGCACACGAGCCGAGTGACGCCCGTTGCGCTTCGTGTCGTTGCAGTGCGTCGGCATCGACAAGGGCGACATCCCCGACCTAACGCAGGTAACGGACGACTCCGCGTGTCACATCCTCTGCATCCCCATTGGACGTTAAAGATCCTCTGAGTAGGCCATGTGTGTGCCGGCGTCACGGTCTCACTTTGATAGATTTGTGTGCGCAGTAACTTTTTTTTTCTTCCAAAAGTATTTTGGTAACAAGACGATTGAGGTACACGGAGGATATGAAAGGAGGGTTGACACCACCACAAGCGCATTACGGATTGCAATGCAATGGGACCCACCTGTCTAAAACGCACGTTTCAGTAAACTCTACAACCCCCTGCTGTCTTCTTTCGCTGCTCTGGTGATACCCCTGTGTAAGAATGAACAGGGGGGGTAGGGGGGATTGCCTGATTGCCCGAATGAATGCTCTTAAGAATCAATGCCCACTGCAGAAGAGAGAGTGAAGGGGTTCAATGTTTGTTTGTAAGCTTCCTCCCCGCCTGCGCAGTTACTTGTAAACCTTTTCCCATTGCGATGACGTACGTGTCCGTCATCGGAACGGTACCGGAAGACAAAATTAATAACTTTATCGGTACCGAGGATCCCACAAGGCCACGCGGGAGGGCGTGCGGCACAGCTTGGCGCCTGCTGTCGTAGGGTGCTGTCGTGTCGCTACGGTTCCCTGCGGCGAGTACAGCGCATTTAAAAACAGCGGCGCTGCGCCTCTCCAAGTAAAATTAACGTCAAGCCGCTTGCGCGTTCCGAGATTCGACGGTGAGCGGGAACACCCCGCCCCCTCCAACCCTGCAAACTTGCAGACGTCTCAGAACAGGAGAGGGTTAATTGGGAAAACTCGTCACGGCATCGCGCTCCCTACTGGCGGACTGCACACGGGGACAGCTGCCGCTGGGTTGTCCCCTTGGCTAGACTGCAGCAGGGTAAATGGAATGCTTGCGATGAGATGGGATGCTTCCGAGTTGCTGCGGCATTTCAGCAAGCACCCATGTGTTCTAGGCAAATCCTTGTTGTTAAGTCAATTGAGAGTTCGGCTGGAGCGAAAGACCTTGCACCTTTTTAAAACTCTTATTTTGAACATTGTATATATGTATGTCCCTTAACTGCGATTCTTAAATATGTCACTGTTAGGTTTAATGTTGGGTTAGAATCACCGACGTCCGTGCTCTCAAGTTGCCTGGGTGAAAAGTGGGGCGAAGTTTTTACCCAGTCCCGTCCAGCTGGCTCAACAAACTTAAACTTTAACAACGCCACGGCCCCATCCGGATGGGGATCGGGACCTCCCGACCTTTGTATGCGTGACGCCGCAGCTGCTTCACGTGCGATGGTGCGTTGACCTCCCTCGCCCCCATACCAACCTGTCGTCTGTCCGTCCGTCCGTCCGTTGTGCAGGCTCCCAGCAGCCTCCTGGACGCCCTTGAGCAACACCTGGCCTCGCTCGAGGGAAAGAAGACCAAGGACGTACCTATGACCGCCAGCAGGTGTGTGCATGCCGTGCGTTTGCACGCCCCCCGCGACCCTTGTACGTGTGTACGTATGTTGAGCTTCTTTCGCGCCGTACGTAGCCAAACCATGCTAATCGGAGGTCTGGGGGGAAATAAATTTGTTTTCAGTCTAGCTGATTTAGAGATGCGTGGCTCCCAGTGGCCTTCTAATATCGGAACGGAAGAGCGTTCCAGACGGCCCCTCTGAAAAAGCGCGCGATGCAGTGACGGTCTTTGTTCGATGGCCAGCCAAAAGCCGCTGCCGTGAGGATGACCAGAGTTTGCGGTGTGTAAACATCGCCACTGGGGAGATGAAGACGGCCGGGCGTGGTGCTGGCCACCTACCTGCACAGGTTCTACTCGCTAACAGCACTTGCCCCAACAGTCTGTTACAGGCTATACGGGGGGGGGGGGGGGGTCTTTGTACGTGTATGTTTTGAGATTATTGTGATGGATGGCGCCCTGCGTCGCTAACCCGGCGATCCGAATTTGATTCCTGCTCACAGCTAACATTGGTGACGAATTTTAAAACGGGGTCCTGTGCTTCCCTAGGTCAACTCAGCCTTCAATGAGTACCTGGTGCAGTATGTAAACAGCAACCGGGGGAGACGAAATTCATCGGCAGGGCACGTTTCTGACCACACCCACCGCCCTTGTGGTACCATTGCCGGCCTTCATAGGTGCTCGCTAACAGCACTTGCCCCAACATTCTTTTAAGCCTTCGCGGGGGATCTTCGTCTTGTGCGCGTGTGTGTCTCTTTGCAGCCGCAGCACGAGCCTCTCGACGGCCGTGTCGGCGTTGTCCACCACGGGGATGTCGCTGAGCCGCGTGGACGAGCAGGAGAGGCGGGCGGCGCTGGACGAGGAGCAGGCACGGCTCAACGCCCTCAAGGTGCCGTGTGCCGGACGCCGCGAGAGCTGCCGACATCTTCCGCCAGCGTCTGCGTCGATTGCACCGCAAATCTGTCTTGACGGTTTCTGTAACCGAAGATTACTTTTTTTTTCAAGTAATTTGTTCAAGAGCCGGCTTTTGTTCACAGGAAATGTATTTAATATTGGTTTCTGTTTGTGAATTGTTTTCAATTTCTTCTGTCACCGTGGTTGTTTTTTTGTGTTGCTATGATTGCCATTTCGTTGTGTTTGTTGGTTTCTATTTGCTTTCATTATTGACATTTGTGATGACCCAGGGGTCACCTTTGCGATTGAGAACCCGTCCTGGTGTCTCGAGTTCTCACCCGGTTAAACAAAATAAACTCGAAACTGGAGCTGAATCTACACCCTAGCGATCAGTTGCACAACCCAATCGCTGAATCTCGATGTCTTTGCAACTGATGTTATGCAACACACAGTTGAAACCTAGTATCATTCTTTATAACCCTGAACATGCTGTTTAATGTCTTGTTCTACTGCTTTCTCAAGTGTGGACAAAGCAGTTGCAGGGAATGCACAGACAATGAGAGTTGGCTAATTTGCAGTTCCACCGGTTGTGTCAAATATCGTTCTGTCTTTGGTACTCTGAGACCAGTTAAGAGATTTTATTCATCAACATCATCTTCATCAGCCGTGATCCAGCTACTGCTACATGAAGGCCCCCCAAAAATTATTCCGTATAGCTTTTTTCGAGCGTGTGCCGATCTCGTCGCTCCATCCTCGTTGCGACGTCCTTTGTGCTTGAAATGGACAAATTTGTCAAGGGGTCGCGCGCGTGACGATGCTGTGCGCTGGAAGTCGAACGCCGCGTTCCGGTCTCGCGAGCGAGCCGTTTGTCGTCATCGCGCTGCATCCTTTGCTGCCCCTTTGTAAGCGGAGCCGTGGTGTGCGCGTGCGTGTGCGCGTGCGTGTGTGCGCGTGGTTGTGTCTGTTCGTGCACGTGCGTCGGTATTGCATGTGCTCGGCACCCCCAGGAGCAGCGCTTGCGGGAGCTGGGTGGTGGCGGTGGCGGTGGCGGCGGCGGCGGCGGCGGCGGCGGTGGCGGCAGCGGCAAGCAGAGCTCTCCAGCGTCGAGTGGAACGTCGCCCAACTCCACGCCCGTGCGCAGCAACACGGCGCCGCCCTCCACCGACCTCTTCTCCTCCACGCCGCCCTCCACGCAGACGGGGTGCGCGGTGGGGGGCACGCCGACGGGCGGCGTGACGATGCGACGATTCGCTCGTTTTAAATCAAATAATTTTTCATGCCTTCGGACCGAGGTCGAGAGTGTTGCGGAATTAGCTCCGTCTGTGTCTCTAACATGTCACTCAGCACTATCTATGCCACTCATACTGTGTGCGGTAGCGCACCAGTTAGTGTGCTGCGCTGGAAAAACCCAGCGGGCCTGGGTTTGATTCCCGCTCACGGTTCCCATCACCAGTAACGAACATCTGAACGCGTCCTGGGCCTCCGCTCGGTCGACTCAGCCTCAACTGAGTACCTGGTGCAATGCGTGATCATCGCCACGGGGGAGACGGAGGCGGCCAGGGTGTGGTGCTGGCACACCCCCGGTTTGTGTGCCGTTGCCGGCCTGAATAGGCGCTGCTCGCAAACGGCACTTGCCCCAAACAGTCTGTTAAAGGCTCCACGGGGGGTGGGATCTTTGTCTTTGTCTCTGTGCAGAGGCTCCAGCGATCTCTTCGGGCTGCAGCCGAACTTTGGGGGAGGTGTGCAGGGCACAGGGGTCCCTCCCGGAGCGCCCAGCCCCTGGACAGGTGAGGGTTGCAGCCCAGCACTTCATTTCAGCCGGCAACGTTGCACAACGCGTCTCCTCGCGGAAATCGTTGTCGGCCATGGCCAACGCGTTTTGGTGGTCTGCAAATGGACGTGCCTGAACGGTCATGAACAATAGGATCACGATAGATAGAGCTGTACACTGTATTCTAACTAGTGTGTTAGCGCCTTACGCCTTGTGATGCCTTAGGCAAGCCAGCCTAGCAGCAGCAGCTGCAGCAGCGTTCCGGAAAATATGGAATATGGAGTGAAAATTCAAGCCCGGGTTGTCTCAACGCTGTCGTGTGAGCTTGTTTAACCAGTGCTGGACGTGATTATGCTAATTTAGAAGAAGTGCTGAGCTTTTGGTGGGAGTGTGGGGGGAGGGAGTGGGGCCGGATGGGGTCTGGCTGGGACCTCGGCCGGCCCTGACGCGATGGAGCTGCGTGGGTGCCCGCTCGTCCGTCCGTCCGTCCGTCCGCTCGCTCTCTCACTCGCACCACCCTCGGGCTGCCCCGTCCTCCACAGTGCTTCCTTACCAGACCCCGGTGGCTTGGAGACCTTCCCCTCATCATTATTAGACATGGTCAGTCCACTGCTGGATTGAGACCCCTCCCCTAGCCGGCGCCATCCTGCAGTCTGACAATCCCGCCGAGCACCTGCGGGCGAGTTGATTTCATCGCTCCATCTCCACGGCGCCCATCCGTTACAGACGCTCTCCGTTCCCCCTTTGGCCGTTGCTCCGTTGGTTCATCGTGACGGTTGGCCATCGTGACGGTTGGCCATCGTCCCTTCGAGCCGTCCACACGTCCGACCCAGACCCCGCCGACTTGTCGTCATCGGCCCGCGCGTAGTTCCCTAACGCGTCCCCTAAGAAACGTAAAGCGGGTCCGCTGCTCCATCGTATCCTGTCTCATCGCTCTGACGGGGAGCGTCGTCGCGCCTAGGCTTATTACGGCGCTCGCGTGCGGAGCGTGTTGGTGGCTTGCTGCTGCTCCGTGTTGGTGGCGGCTGTTTGCTGTCGGTTGAGGATGACGCAAATGCCACTCGGGGGGGGGGGGGGGGGGGGGGGTTGGACTATTTACCGCCACGTCGGTGTGCACGGATGTGCTTCCCCACCCCCCCCCCCCTCTCGTGTTATTATCTCGACGATGTTTTTTTTCGGGTTGCACCGCTGGTTGTTCGGCACGAAATGACTTCCTCGAGGGGAACTTTTCCGAGTGCGACCCCCGAAAGCTGCACGGGGGGGAGAGGTGGATTTGTTGGTGATTGTAACGTGGATGCATCGTGCAAGTGTGATGATTTTCAATTGTCAATCAATCAATGTCGACCCGCTTTTTCAAACTGAATTGGCTTGCGGGGGCAGCGACTCCACCAATTCTATATATTTCGCCTGGACGATCCCTTGAGAATGGCAAGGGTGTCCAGGGTAGGCTGATGATGATGGTGCACCAGTGCAGGCCTGCCATCAGTCCAAGCCTTTTTTCTGATTTATATTTTGCTTTATTCCCCAATTACTTTCCAGCTGTGCTCTTGGCATTTTGGTTAAACGAAGGACTTTTCCGTTCAATACTGTGCCGCGGGCAGTGCATCATCGCCCTGCCAGAGATCGGTTTGGGAAGATGACTTTACATAACTACTTCTGAGCTTCACTTCAACGGACCTCGTGAACCACACGAGCATCGCACGGTTTAATGGCGCCGTAGCACGTTGATCAGAGCTAACATTTATGCGTGCAGTCATTGGTGACCGGGGTGAAGATAACCATCAACTTTTGCCGCGCTTGAGAAACCCGGCTTAAGGATCTCCCAGCGGTGGCAGTTCAGCGTTCTCTGAACCACCGTCCACCTCTAGACCGGTGCTACTGGGAAGCGCACTGCTTGAGCATATTGGCACTGTAAGACAGAAGAGAAAAGTTGAAACAACAAATGACGAAATGTGCAGTGGGGCACACCTCCAGGGCTATCTGCCCATGGATCGTGATGACGATGATGATGATCATCAACCTTCATCCATGAACCAATGGGCGGCATAAATTTCGATTTAAAGCTTTCGTGACTGCAATGATTCATCTTCTTTAGTTCTTTCGGTAAAGTCACGTAGAATGAGAATAAAATAATAAAATAAAATAACACAATAATATTCTCACGACGTTTCGGCCACAACACAAGCGGCCTTCATCAGGTGAAGGGACGAGACTGTCTGGTAGGACAGCGCTGGAGTGAAAGAGCCACGTTCAGATCACGGCCTTTAAGCTGTGTGAGAGGAACAAAGCGCCTTGACAAAGGAATTAGCATATAATTTAGCATTGAAATGGCTGGGCGGCAGTCGTGCCGTCAATGTGTGTGATTGTGCCGCAGTGCAGCATGCTCGGGACATTATTTTGGTGTTCTAAATGTCCAAATGATTGGCCACTTTGTTGAGCTCTCATCTGTGGCCAGGTTGCTTCTGAAAAATAAGTTAATACCTCTTGGCTTTGCCTGGTAGGATTGGAATGGTTTATTTGTATGCTTGTGGGTGATTTGTTTACCTTTCCTCTACTGTGCACTCCTCCTATCGTGTTTTTGTATTGTTTGTTGTTGTTGTGACATTCTTAACCGCCCCTACTGGACATCTGTGAAAAAGCTTTATAGCCCATTGGATTCCTACACTATCAATATTCTGATTTACAGAGTTGCCGCAACGTGCCGCTACTGCAAGAAACGCGATCGAATCGTATCCGCTTCACAACATTTTGCAATGTCATGATTTGTCATTTCATTTTTTTTATATGCAGTATGTCAAAAAGATTAAGATTCTGACAGCCCAGGGCTGCCAACGTTACGGAGACGATGCGACTGCGTACCGCACGAGACGAGCCAAAGCATCGTCATATCGTGTTAATTTGTTTTATTATTTCCCAAATAACTCTTAATGAATCGACAACACGCACACACACAGTAGGCGAAGTTCTAAATATATTGCTCCTGCTTGTTAAACGAGTGCTTTGCAAAACGGTTTGCCGCGAGTAATTGATAACGTGGTGGTTACGTGATCTCATCATTGTTATAGTAACTTTTGTTCGTTATTTAATTATTTCCTCCTTGTACGCTTGGCAGAAAATGCGCATGAGGCGTTACGGGATGTCAGAGCGCAACGTCTAGTGAAATACAAACCCGTTCAGTCGTTTAGTTTATAGCTGCAGCTGAACGCATGTTAAGTTAAGTAAGCTCCAGTCGAAAGCGAAAGCGCAGCAGAGCGAAAATTCACGATGCGGACGCACATCTCCACGAAGCTGCCATCACGCGACGACCCTCGTGAAAGTTGACATCGTCGTGAGCAATGACAGCGCGGCACCCCCAGAGGTAGGGGGATGCCACCTCTTCATGTTGACTCGCGTGTCCCCTGTGTGTGCCTCGCCCCCGCCCCCCTCCTCCTCCTCCTCCTCCTCACTTGCTCTCTCCGCTGCTGCGTGCTCTCTGTGGGAAGACGTGTTCGGGTCGCCGTTTCGCACCGCTAGGCCCGAAGACTTTCCCACTTCCATTAGCCTTTACTCGTACGATGGTGGGTGGCAGCGCACGACACACGGTTGGCTCGATTTCACCGCACGGCATGCGATCGGCGCGCACGGCGGCGGCGCCAAAACCGAACGGAAGCTCGTCCCGGGCGAACGCACGAGAGAGCGCGGTCTAGAACTAAACCCCGCCGCGGTTTTGCGGGCGGGCGGGCAAGCGGGCGAGCGGGTGTGTGTGTTGGCACTGTCTTCTCCATGAATGATCCTCCCCGGGCATTCACGCAGTGGCCCCCCCACACCACCACGTTGGCATGCTGGAAAACACGGGGCAGATTATCGGGGTTGCCCCGTTGAGCCTTGGTCAGTGCACGACTCTGATATGCATCTGGTGCATGCTGTGCTCCTTGTCCATAGTTCTGTTCACACCCTGTAGCTCTGTTCACACCTGTGGCTCTCTTCATGTCTGACTTGACTTTTGTTCCAGGACTTGTACTCATGTGTTGCTCCTCTGCCTTGTTTACGTCTCTCTGTCTCTCCCTCCCTCTCTCTTCCACCGGAATGCTCTGTCTCTCTTCCTCCTATACCCTGTATCTGCCACTCTCTTATCCCCGTATGGTTTCTCTTCTCTTGAACTTTTCTCTCTCCTCCCGGCGGGACCTGGCTCCTTCCCTTTTCCGGGGGCTGTGCCGGGGGCTGTGCCGGGGGCTGTGCCGGGGGCTGTGCTGGGGGCTGTGCCGGGCCTAGCGGCGTGCGGCGCTGATGCTCCGTGCGTGTCGTCGCGAGAGCACTACGCGGTGTCGAGCGCGGCTCCCGCCACCTACTCCGCTCCGTTGCCTCCGGCCCCCTCCTCTCTCAATCCCTTCTTGGGTAAATCTCAGCCGGCGCTCTCACGCCCGCTTGCGCTCCCAGGGACGCGTATATTTCATCACGCCCCGCGGGAGAAAATGGAAAGGATCGAGGTGTGGTGGTGATGGTGGTGGTTGGGGGAGGGGAAGAGGAGGAAAAGGGATCGAGTTGCTGGGGACAATGTGAAGCGGTTTGGCCGAGACCCCTCCTCGGGAGATGCCGGAGATCGCGAATGATGGGAACGGACGCAGCCTGTCATGGATATCGACTCTCGGTTTTGAGGATAGATGCTAGATGGAGATGATTTATCACGATTCTCAATCGCAAATTTGTACCAATGAGAAGTAGCTTTCTTTCCTTTTTGTACCGTCCCATTTCCGTCGTCTCGTTTGCACGGTCCCGTCCGTCAAGTGGCGTTTCTACTGCCCGTCTAGTTTCTACCGTCTCATACTATCTTGCGTGAACTTTAATTCGTGTGTACTCGGCACTGTCTCATCTGCGCTTCCTTTGTGCTGCGCGCACTGTCCCTTTAATTTGTTCTCTACAGTTTTGTCGCATTTGCTCAGAGCCTTAGACCATTAGCGTTAAGGAAAAAGATTCGCATCGAAGTTGTGTGATTTGAAAGTAGTAGATTCTTGCATGCACCGTTCAGTAATTTATCCGAATTATAAATACCGAGCACCGAGTGACTGCTGATTTGCTGTCCGCGTCCAAATCAGCCGTTGATTCTAACTGTGGACATACGATCCAACAAATAAATTAACGAGCGAGTGAGCATATATCAGTGTGTGCGTGATTGTTTTGGCCGTTGTGGGGCTGACTCGGCGGCGCGTGCGCCCGTGCGTGCCCGCAGGGTTCGGCGGGTCGTTCGTCCCCACGGCCGTGTCGCCGGTGTCCGCGGCGGCGCCCGGCGGCCTGCACACCGACTTCGACGCCGTCTTCGGGAACAAGAGCGCGGCGAACAAGGACACGCTGGACTCGAGCGGTGAGCGCTAGTTGGGGGTGGGGGGGGGGGGTGGCAGCACCGAGCATCACCGCGGGCGCCCTTTCAATCATTTGCACACGCACTCGCGCCCAACCAAACACTCACTCGCTCGTGCATTCGCGCGCTCGCCCTCAACCGCACACGCGCTCGCACTCGCACGCTCTCTCACTCATCCGCACACGCACGCTCGCACACTCACAATCGCACCCATCCGTACGCTCGCTCGCTCACTCGCGCAATTACTTACACGCTCTCACGCATCCATACACGCGCTCACAATCTTTCACGTGCTTGCTCACCGGTGTGCTCACTTGCACACACTCATCCATATGCTCGGCCCGCGCACGCAGCAAAGCACCAAGTGTAACAGACTCAGTGTAACAAACTCGCAGTGTAACAGACTCAGTGTAACAAACTCAGTGTAACAAACTCGCAGTGTAACACACTCGCAGTGTAACAAACTCGGTGTAACAAAATCAGTGTAACAAACTCGCAGTGTAACAAACTCGCAGTGTAACAAACTCAGTGTAACAAACTCGCAGTGTAACAAACTCGCAGTGTAACAAACTCGCAGTGTAACAAACTCGCAGTGTAACAAACTCGCAGTGTAACAAACTCTCAGTGTAACAAACTCGCAGTGTAACAAACTCGGTGTAACAAACTCGGTGTAACAAACTCGCAGTGTAACAAACTCGCAGTGTAACAAACTCAGTGTAACAAACTCCCAGTGTAACAAACTCGCAGTGAAACAAACTCGCAGTGTAACAAACTCGCAATGTAACAAACTCGCAATGTAACAAACTCGCAGTGTAACAAACTCGCAGTGTAACAAACTCGCAGTGTAACAAACTCGCAGTGTAACAAACTCGCAGTGTAACAAACTCGCAGTGTAACAAACTCAGTGTAACAAACTCGCAGTGTAACAAACTCGCAGTGTAACAAACTCGCAGTGTAACAAACTCGCAGTGTAACAAACTCGCAGTGTAACAAACTCGCAGTGTAACAAGCTCGCAGTGTAACAAACTCAGTGTAACAAACTCAGTGTAACAAACTCGCAGTGTAACAAACTCGCAGTGTAACAAACTGAGTGTAACAAACTCGCAGTGTAACGCACTCGCAGTGTAACAAACTCGCAGTGTAACAAACTCGCAGTGTAACAAACTCGCAGTGTAACAAACTCGCAGTGTAACAAACTCGCAGTGTAACAAACTCAGTGTAACAAACTCGCAGTGTAACAAGCTCGCAGTGTAACAAACTCAGTGTAACAAACTCAGTGTAACAAACTCTCAGTGTAACAAACTCGCAGTGTAACAAACTCGCAGTGTAACAAACTCGCAGTGTAACAAACTCGCAGTGTAATAAACTCAGTGTAACAAACTCGCAGTGAAACAAACTCGCAGTGTAACAGACTCAGTGTAACAAACTCGCAATGTAACAAACTCGCGGTGTAACAAACTCGCGGTGTAACAAACTCGCAGTGTAACAAACTCGCAGTGTAACAAACTCGCAGTGTAATAAACTCAGTGTAACAAGCTCAGTGTAACAAACTCGCAGTGTAACAAACTCGCAGTGTAACAAACTCGCAGTGTAACAAACTCGCAGTGTAACAAACTCAGTGTAACAAACTCCCAGTGTAACAAACTCAGTGTAACAAACTCAGTGTAACAAACTCCCAGTGTAACAAACTCAGTGTAACAAACTCAGTGTAACAAACTCGCAGTGTAACAAACTCGCAGTGAAACAAACTCGCAGTGTAACAAACTCGCAATGTAACAAACTCGCAATGTAACAAACTCAGTGTAACAAGCTCAGTCTAACAAACTCGCAGTAAAACAAACTCGCAGTGTAACAAACTCGCAGTGTAACAAACTCGCAGTGTAACAAACTCGCAGTGTAACAAACTCGCAGTGTAACAAACTCGCAGTGTAACAAACTCGCAGTGTAACAAACTCGCATTGTAACAAACTCGCAGTGTAACAAACTCGCAGTTGTAACAAACTCGCCGCGTACAAACTCGCAGTGTAACAAACTCGCAGTGTAACAAACTCGCAGTGTAACAAACTCGCAGTGTAACAAACTCGCAGTGTAACAAACTCGCCGCGTAACAAACTCGCAGTGTAACAAACTCGCAGTGTAAACAAACTCGCAGTGTAACAAACTCGCAGTGTAACAACTCGCAGTGTAACAAACTCGCCGCGTAACAAACTCGCAGTGTAACAAACTTGCAGTGTAACAAACCTCGCAGTGTAACAAACTCGCAGTGTAAACAAACTCGCAGTGAAACAAAACTCGCACTGTAACAAACTCGCAATGTAACAAACTCGCAGTGTAACAAACTCGCAGTGTAACAGAACTCGCAGTGAACAAAACTCGCAGTGAAACAAACTCGCAGTGTAACAAACTCGCAGTGTAACAAACTCGCAGTGTAAACAAACTCGCAGTGTAACAAACTCGCAGTGTAACAAACTCGCAGTGAAACATACTCGCAGTGTAACAAACTCGCAGTGTAACAAACTCGCAGTGTAACAAACTCAGTGTAACAAACTGGCAGTGTAACAAACTCAGTGTAACAAGCTCAGTGTAACAAACTCGCAGTGAAACAAACTCGCACTGTAACAAACTCGCAATGTAACAAACTCGCAGTGTAACAAACTCGCAGTGTAACAAACTCGCAGTGAAACAAACTCGCCGCGTAACAAACTCGCAGTGTAACAAACTCGCAGTGTAACAAACTCGCAGTGTAACAAACTCGCAGTGTAACAAACTCGCAGTGTAACAAACTCGCCGCGTAACAAACTCGCAGTGTAACAAACTCGCAGTGTAACAAACTCGCAGTGTAACAAACTCGCAGTGTAACAAACTCGCAGTGAAACAAACTCGCACTGTAACAAACTCGCAATGTAACAAACTCGCAGTGTAACAAACTCGCAGTGTAACAAACTCGCAGTGAAACAAACTCGCAGTGAAACAAACTCGCAGTGTAACAAACTCGCAGTGTAACAAACTCGCAGTGTAACAAACTCGCAGTGTAACAAACTCGCAGTGTAACAAACTCGCAGTGTAACAAACTCGCAGTGTAACAAACTCGCAGTGTAACAAACTCGCAGTGTAACAAACTCGCAGTGTAACAAACTCAGTGTAACAAACTGGCAGTGTAACAAACTCAGTGTAACAAGCTCAGTGTAACAAACTCGCAGTGAAACAAACTCGCACTGTAACAAACTCGCAATGTAACAAACTCGCAGTGTAACAAACTCGCAGTGTAACAAACTCGCAGTGAAACAAACTCGCCGCGTAACAAACTCGCAGTGTAACAAACTCGCAGTGTAACAAACTCGCAGTGTAACAAACTCGCAGTGTAACAAACTCGCAGTGTAACAAACTCAGTGTAACAAACTCAGTGTAACAAACTCGCAGTGTAACAAACTCAGTGTAACAAATTCTCAGCGTAACAAACTCGCAGTGTAACAAACTCGCAGTGTAACAAACTCGCAGTGTAACAAACTCTCAGTGTAACAAACTCGCAGTGTAACAAACTCGCCGCGTAACAAACTCGCAGTGTAACAAACTCGCAGTGTAACAAACTCAGTGTAACAAACTCAGTGTAACAAACTCTCAGTGTAACAAACTCGCAGTGTAACAAACTCGCAGTGTAACAAACTCGCAGTGTAACAAACTCGCAGTGTAACAAACTCGCAGTGTAACAAACTCGCAGTGAAACAAACTCGCACTGTAACAAACTCGCAATGTAACAAACTCGCAGTGTAACAAACTCGCAGTGTAACAAACTCGCAGTGAAACAAACTCGCAGTGAAACAAACTCGCAGTGTAACAAACTCGCAGTGTAACAAACTCGCAGTGTAACAAACTCGCAGTGTAACAAACTCGCAGTGTAACAAACTCGCAGTGTAACAAACTCGCAGTGAAACAAACTCGCAGTGTAACAAACTCGCAGTGTAACAAACTCGCAGTGTAACAAACTCAGTGTAACAAACTGGCAGTGTAACAAACTCAGTGTAACAAGCTCAGTGTAACAAACTCGCAGTGAAACAAACTCGCACTGTAACAAACTCGCAATGAAACAAACTCGCAGTGTAACAACTCGCAGTGTAACAAACTCGCAGTGAAACAAACTCGCCGCGTAACAAACTCGCAGTGTAACAAACTCGCAGTGTAACAAACTCGCAGTGTAACAAACTCGCAGTGTAACAAACTCGCAGTGTAACAAACTCAGTGTAACAAACTCAGTGTAACAAACTCGCAGTGTAACAAACTCAGTGTAACAAATTCTCAGCGTAACAAACTCGCAGTGTAACAAACTCGCAGTGTACAAACTCGCAGTGTAACAAACTCTCAGTGTAACAAACTCGCAGTGTAACAAACTCGCCGCGTAACAAACTCGCAGTGTAACAACTCGCAGTGTAACAAACTCAGTGTAACAAACTCAGTGTAACAAACTCTCAGTGTAACAAACTCGCAGTGTAACAAGCCCGCAGCGTAACCAACTCGGCGCCGCCGGCACGACTCTTCCCCACCGTGGCGGCGCTGGCCGCACCGAGCTCGCGGCTCGGCGTAACACCGCGGAATGTGGCGCGCGAGCATGGAGCAAGCCCCCCCCCCCCACCACCCCGTCGAGCATGCGTCCGTGGCATCGGCACTCCCAGGCTCCTAAGGCGAGCTGCCCTCCCTCCGGCGATTGCTTGCGCGCCAGCATCGGCGTGAACTAGAAATTTCAGGGCTGCACCTTCGACCTTTTGCCTTTCAGGCTTGAATTGCTCGCGAGTGCAGACGCGTTGAAACAGCACGCCCCCCCCCCCCCCCCCCACCATTGACCCGAGCGTCTTTGGGGAAGCTGGAGACAGCTTTCAGGGCCGATATCCACACCGCAACGCTTTCAGTTCCAGCTCTGCAAATGTCAGCGGGTTCTCTCAGGCACTCTCCGAACGGCTCCTCATCAAAACAGCCAAATGAATGAACCACCACCTCGATGGTGGTCGTAACCGGGCTCGCCCCAACCGACGGTATTTTTTTGGGGGACTTTCAGAAAAGTCACGTAGATAGGTTTAAATAAACTACGACGTTTCGATCACAGCACAAGTGATCGTCGTCAGGAGTAGTTTTTTTTGTTATTTTCCTTGAACCTATCTACGTGACTTTAGCGAAAGACCCAAAGAATATTAATTCCTGCGGTCACGAAAGCTTTAAGTCAAGACCCAACCGACGGTGTCGCGGAAACGTGTCGCCGGTTAATGTTCGGCTAAGTGGGCGATGCCTTGGCGGTGGTGACCGTGGTGATGGTGGTGGCGGCGGCGGCAGCGAGCCCCTGAGAATCTGGGAGTGCTGCCGATCGCTTGCCGGACAGCCCCCCACCCCACTGACCCCCTCCCCTCCGAGGCTCAAGCGCTTCATCGGTTGTCCTGCTGCCCCTGTTGTTGCCGTTGACTTGCCTGTGTTTGTGCGTCGCAGATAAGTGGGGGCTGGCGGCGGTAACCCATTCACTGCATGCAGTGCCCGGGGGCGGCGGAGGGCGCTCTCGCGTGGGCCGTACCGGCGGGTGGTTTCTCATCCCGTGACTGCTTCTCTCCCTCCCTCCCTCTCTCTCTCTCTCTCTCACTCTGCCCCCCCCTCCCCACCCACACCGCCCCTCTCCCCTCTCTCCCTTGGTTCGGGGGGGGCCTCCCAACTCCCAACCCTGCCTGTCTCCTCGCGGTGTCTGTCTGGCCGGGTGAGTTCGGCGTTTTCCTCCTCGCTGCGCCCGGCTGCGTTTCACCACCACCCCCCCCCCCCCCCCCCCTCGGCCCGCACGACCGCGAACCGCTTTGCCGTTAACTCCTCCCTCCCCCCACCACCACACGCATGCCGCACCCCCCCACACGCACTACTAAGCTTGGCCTGGCGGGGAGAGCGTTCACCACTCCTCTTGACGACGCCGTCGATTGCTCGTGGCGTCGTTCGGTAACCCGGGATAATTGGCTCCTTCCAATCATCGATTCTCGGTCCGATTGCTCGATTAATCGGACAATGTGAAGATAGTTGGGTGGGGCGAGGGCGGGGGGGGGACACACAAGTCTCACCCCTTCCCACGTGTGCCGCTGGACGGGAGGTGATGGGACGCGTGCTTGGTGACATAATCCGCTTCGTCGGCCGCGTCATGCAGAGCGTGGCTTTGTGGAGGGGTTTCCCACCTTCGGGAGGTGTGGCCACCAATGATTGTAGTCAATCACCTTTAATCGACCAATTGTCCCTTGCTCCATTTTGATGTCTTTCGCTCACCTCGGAAAGCTTCGCGGAGTCTCTTAGACTCTTCCCGGATGCTCCTGTGCTGCTACCATTGTGATGTTCTCATCACCTCTCCCATTCCTCCTCCTCGTCGTCGTGTGTTGTTAAGAGGTCACCTTGAGGGATTTCAGAAGTAGTTCTGCGACATCTCATTCTCCTGGCCATTCTGGAATGCGGGTTTGATGATGCACAGCTCCGTGAGAGCTCTGAATGGCCACATGGTGGCGTTACACCGGTGGCACACAGTAGAAATCGTGATTACGCTTGGATTTCTATAAATCTCTCCGATGTGCGGTTGTGCTCGGAAGTATTGGATGAGCGATAAAGCACTTCACCTCTCGAGCCACCTATCGCGATGACATCGATTATCACAAACGCCGAGCCAAATCCTTTTCGAGTGTTCAGGTCCAACTCGTGCCCGATTTTCGGCTTGTGTCTCCCAAGTTTGGAGGCAGTGCGTTGATTCACGTGACCGGTTCGTAGTAGGGCAAGTGCCGAACAGCCGGACAAATTTATACTTGAGTTTCCTTCGTATTTGATCATCGAATCATAAGAGTTATCATGCCCCTACCGCATCCTTCCACCACCCCCCCCCCCTCCTCCACTCGTTACAGAGAGACGAACAGAGCTAATGTTAAAAAAACGACAACAAAAAATCGGTTGCTTAGACGAATCTTGAACCGAATGTTGAATTTAATTAGCTACGAGGGGCCGAATCGGCACACGCCGGTCCCTCGCTGCTGCGCCTGTTGCCCGGCTGACCGGCCGCCCTTTGCCCCCTTGGCGCCGGCAGGTGTCGTGATGCTAGGCGACATCCTGCAGCCCATGGTGGTGACGCCCGCGCAGTCGTCGGCGCCCACGTCCTCGCAGCAGGCGGCCATCCTGGCCCCCAACGACCTCGACTCGTCGCTCGCAAACCTCGTCGGCAGTAAGAGCGCGCCTGGCACGCGCGCGCACCGCGCGCTACTCGTGACACGCGCACGGCACACGCCACGTGGCGCCATCTCCTTCCACTGCCGGGACGGTGTGCGGAGAAACCGCCTCCGCTAGTGCCCAGATTGTGTCGGGGTGCAGTTTGATGCAGGGGGTAGACCGTGGGTTAGCTCGCTGGACTTGCAATGCGGAGGCGGTCGGTTCGATTTGCTCTTATCCGATAACGCGCGCCAGAGCCTCCGACCACCCTGCGGTACAAATGGGTACGATCACGTTTAGTCGATCGGCAGGTCGCGTGTGATGGGGTGGCGTGTGGGCACGCCACCGGCTCTTCCAAGCTGCCTGGCTAGCGTAGAAGAGTCGGGCAAATATCCTCTAGGGGTGCTCTATAGTGCAGATGGAGGGGAGGCCCTTCTGCTAGCAGTGGCGTGAGAGAGAGAATACAGAGCTACACTTTTACTTGAGCTGAAGTATATTTATTTTTAGCGATTTGCTTTCCTTTCCTATACGTTGCACTCCCATCGTTTTTTTTGTATTGTGGTAACTTATCGACCCGCAATCTGCTGGACATTACGTGAAAAAGAGCTTCATTGCTCATCGGATTTCTGCGGGATGAATAAAGCTTCCGATTTACGGTGAAAGGATGCAGTGTGCGCCAGGTCAATCGCGTGGCGATCGTCACGAGCAGTCGTCACCGGCAGTGGGTTGCAGCACCTCCTCACTCGGCTGTGACGAAACGTGGTTACCAAACTCCGGACCGGTGTCGAGCGGCGGTGCGGTGGTTAGTCCGCGACGCTGCTGTGAACTCCGTGATCCGAGGTCAATCCTAGGCCACGGCTAACATCAGTGACGAGTGATATCTGACTGGCACTGGACAAAAACCCCCTTTCGCCAGCACATGTGAAACGGCACGGTGAAGTACGGTCTAACTACACCAAAGGTTGGCACAACATGCAGTGGTGGCCTTCATTCAGCAGTATTTTTATAATATTTTACATTAGAAATGTTGTCCTGTGATAAGATGAAGATCCTACCTTGTTTGCTCACACAATCAACATTGTGTGTGTGTGTGTGCTCCACAGACTTAGCCATGAACCCTGCAGGGAAAAAGTGAGTTTTTTGACAGCACACTTGTGCACAACGTGTACTTCTCAAGCAAACTGTCCCCGTGTGGTCCGTGTGTTCGTCTTGGCAGCGTGCTTTGATGCGTGCGTGTTGCGAGCACCACCCGTTATGGAGGCTTGCACGCGCTCTGCCTCATTACTTGCATGTCATGTGGGCTGCATAGTGCGGTCACCTGGCCATGTGCGGTGTAACAGACGAGGACGGGTGGCCCGGATAGAACAAGGAAAACACAGATAACTCAACACGTACATAATTTAGGCATGCCTTATTTTTTACCTTTATGTGTAACCCAGGTGAGAACCCAAGAGACCAGAGTGAGTCTCATTTACAAGTGACCTGGGGTATTATTAGTCTACGAGTAGAGGTGGGGTGGGTCGAGTGGGGTGGGGGGGGAAATGATTGCTCCTATATACAGGGTGCTTAAAAAATGTTTTAACACTTATATGGGACTATCGTTTTACGTGGAAAAAGAGCGGATAATGTACGGTCTAACAACACCAAAAGGTTGGCACAACATGATAACAAATGTATGTTGATAGCTTCAAAAGGTCAAGGCATCTCCTCTTGTTCGCCATCATTGTCAACGCATGCCTGGAACCTTCTCCAGGTGGTCTCCAGAACCCGGAGGCAGCACATTTCGTGTGGTATTGTTGCAAATTCGCGTAAGTGTTAACATTGTTTTGAAGCACCCTGTATCAGAGCAAGCGAGTAATTTTGCCATGTCATTTCCAAATTTTGACTCCGACGGCGGCTTCACGATGGCTCACTCTTGCTCATTACGTCCGGGACGTAACCATAATAACAATAACCAGGGAGGCCACTAGATTCGAACCCGTGTGAACCCCTACAGCAAGTGGCGAGATGCGCCGCCGCTGGGCCCGCGTCACCGCCCTGCGATGGTGTGGAGAGCGGGTGCGAAGGTCTCGACCGCGTCCCTCCGGTTTTACCCTTCAAGCAGTCGGTTTGCCTTGCCGGCGTTTTTGCGGTCGCGTCCGTGCCGATTCACGGGAACCCCCGGCGAGGCGAGGCGAGGCGAGGAGCAGATCAGAATGAGAAAGCAAGCGCGGGCGTGGAGATATTTTGATTATTTTTCATCGCCAAGCAAAGTTAATCTTCCCCAAAGTTTTACCGAGGGTTAATTGTGCCGGGCGAACGTCTGCCGTGGGATATACTCCCAGGGCCACGCTTTGTTCCCCCCTCGGTAGCGATATCCGCACCGCCTCGTGTAGTGTTGATCGTTGCTCTCTCCGTCTCCGCAGGGAGCACCAGTGGACCCCCGCGGGTGAGAAGAAGCTCACGGGCGGACACAACTGGCAGCCGCGCATGACGGCCCCCGCCACCTGGGCCCAGTCTGTGCCTGCTGCCCCCTCACAGGTACGACTCACTCCGTTCCATCCGTTCCCTCCATCCATTCCCTCCGTTCCCTCCCTCCATTCCCTCCCCTCCCTTCCATCCATCCATTCCCTCCCTACCGCCATTCCTCCCTCCCCTCCGTCCTTCCCTCCCATCGGCAGGTCGGTACGATAATGTTTTCGTTTTACATTCCAAATGAGGTTGAAAGCATTCATGCGTTAGTTGCGTCCGTCTACAAAGCGGAGACACGACAACTCTCCTAAAGACCGTCCAAGTAACAATATTTGAGTGTAAATTCGCGTGCTCTATTCGGGGCTCTCCTTCTAGAACCTGACCGAAATTGTTCCTAAGGGTTCGTGCCAAAAAACTTTGTGACGTCAATCCTGCGCTGAAAGTATTTGCGTTTGCTGGCCGAAGTGCGCCCACACCTCTCCCTCCCTGTGATGCCACCGCGCGTGCCGCCACCGCCATCCGCTTATGCATTACTATCGCTCGGCAAAGCGCCTCCATTACAGATTTCACGCGCGTGCGTGGGCCTTGCCTCGTGTTTCTGCCGCTTGAACCACTCGCGTATTACGGGGAGAGAGGAGGAAGGAAGGGAAAAGAAACAACGGCGTGGCACCCAAACCGCAGCGCCGTCCCGACCCGCCGCGCGAGCGACGTTAAACGAACGGTTTTGCCATTGCCGCGCGTCACCGCAAGCGGGCCGATGCGCGGTAATTATCCCGTGCCAGACACACCGGCCTGGGCCGCAGAGTGGCAAGCGATCGATGTGCGGCGCAGATGGAGAGTAAATGATTTTTTGTTTTGTACTTACTGTGCTGGCGCTGCCCACCGTCGACGCCTCTCCCGCGCCGCTAGAGCGGTGCATGGGAGTGGCGATCGATTGTTAACGTCCGCATCCCTGGGGACGGAGGTCGAGGCGGTTGAGAGGAGAGAGCTGTGAGCTGCTCCCAGCGATAACCGTGGGGTGGGTTGGGGGGGGGGACTGCACGGTCGCTCTGAACAAGACTGGGGGCGGCACTCATCGCCGGTTCACCTCCCCCGAGCCAGTGGTGGAAATTCCACATGCTCTAAAGTAACTATTTTTATTTTACCAGGTGTAAGGCCCCACTGAGCTACATAGCTCTTTTTCAGAAGCGACCTGTGGCGTCACATATGACGACTCAACGAAGCGGCGTATCGCGTGGCGATGTACAGCAGCCAAACAGCTCTGAAACGCGTGATGATGTGGATTGCAAATGGTGGGAGCGGATTAACCGGAGGACCTGGAGAAAAATCCACGCCACCACGGGTGGAGAGACACCGCACAAACTCCAAACATGCAGCAGGCATCGGGGTTAATCTGGCCAGGGGCAATTCGGCAACATGTCAGACTGCCCACGGAGTGTCGTCGGAGCCATTGCCCGCAACGTGCAAGCAAACTCTTCTTAACTCTCTTTCCAACCAAGCGTACGTACGTACAGGCACACGCGTACGTACGTACGCTGCCAGGACCCGTTGTTGCACACAAGCGGTGCGCGACCTCTGGCAGACCCCGAAAGCCGGCGGGGGTGGGGGGCGGGCTGGCCGGGGCCGGCGCGACTTGCCTGATGCTTATGGCTAACACTGCACTGTTGTGGGTTGTTGTCCCCTTGCTCTCTGTTCCCCTTGCAGAACGGATGGGGCGTCGCGCCGTATGTAAGTGTGACCTTACCCCGCTTGCCGCCAACCCTCGCCGATCGCCCCGGGCACCGCCCCTCCCCCGCCGCTATGATCCTGCCGCGTTGTCTCGAAGCGAATCGCCTGATCACCTGAACTAACCACGGGCGGAGGGCGAATCCAATAGGAGGGAGGGTCGCGGACGTCCGGCGATGGCACTGGCGACGGACGACGCCTGTGGCACCGATCGCCCCCCAATCGACCCCCCCCCCCCCCCCCGATCGCTGCCGCCCAGTTTTCAAGGATAACTCAAGGGACAGCCATTGTCTTGTTGATACGTTACCTAGGTTACATGTCTGAAGACTTGATTTCAGGGGGGTCCTCCTGCATCGAGAGTGTTTTGCCGATTCCGTGAATGTATGTCGTTGGGCTTGTTGGGAGGAGAAAACACAACTAGTTCAGGAGCAATGTGTGTAGACACCTGGGTACAATGCAATTGATGGGATGGGAGAGGTAGGAGAGTACGTGGAGGGGCGTAGTGAGATGAGAGGGGAGAGGTAGGAGAGTACGTGGAGGGGAGTGGAGTGAGATGAGAGGGGAGAGGTAGGAGAGTGCGTGGAGGGGAGTGGAGTGAGATGAGAAGGGAGGGGTAGGAGGGGAGTAGAGTGAGACGAGAGAGGAGAAGTGGGCATGGGGAGTCCTTGGAGGATCTTGATGGCGGTGAGCAGGATCTTGGAATTTCTGGCCACCCCATGACTCACGGCGTAGTTGTGTAACTACGAGCTGTTGGTGTTGTTGGGCTGCGTCCGCCTTTGAGATGCATTTCGCGTTTGTGCGTAGATCTCTCTCCTCTTGTTGTTTCCCTTTTCAAGTAGTGGCAGTGTGAATCTCTTGAGCCGTACAGTGGCCGATTGAACCTCCACTGTGTTCAAGCCCCATTGTGGCTGCGGCAAAATTGTTATCGTGCCTCCATTGAGTGCAGTTCCAATTCACCCACAGTGTGTGGCAGAGCCCGTTAAACCCACAAAGTCTTGGGCAATCGGTTGGGGCAGTGTGGATTGGGCATCGTTACGTCAATGTTGCCACGCGCCTGGGATCCGTGTTCGCTATTTGCTCGTTAATAAGTGTGGCACAGGAGTTCTAACAACAGGAAGGGGGAGTGCGTTGAGTGCTTGTAAGTTGATCGGCGTTAGTGGTGTCTCAGGTCCCTTAGGCAGGCAGCAGTGATGCATCCAGGGACGTCTAAGTGGAGTGTGGAGGGGGGTGGGCGGGGGGTGTCTTCCACGAAGTGGTTGCGTAGCTGTGTGAGGGAGTGGCGGCAGTGTCGGTGTTACATTTAGTGGTGGAGGGGCGGCGGGTGGTGCTCTCGGGCACCGGCCAATCGGTGTGCAGTGCTGCGCGTACCCCTAATCCTAACCCCCGCCGGGCGCTGCAGGACACGCTGGCGCGCCAGAGCGGCGCGCACGGTCTGAGCGCGGCCCCCTCTGGCCGTCGTGATTTTCCCGGTGATGGCGGTGGCTGCGGTGTTTGACGCTGTCGGCAGCTGGCGTTGTTCCCCCCCGTGCACGGCTGCACCTTGCGCTGCTTCTCTCCCCCGTGGTTCAGAATCAGACTCTTTATTTAGACTGGAGGATGATGATGCCTCCGTCAACCCCCCCCACCCACCCACCCACCAGCTTCGTGTGATTTAAATGTGTCCATTTCTTTCGTGTTCCTCTCTACCGCTGCCCTCCCCCTTAATCAAGATGGGGGTGTGCGTGGGTGGGTCTCCTGTGATTCTACTAATTCCGAGTGCCGCCGCTGTTGCCGGCCTAAAGTCCGCGGCTCTCGCGTTGCCGTGATGCCAGATACACCAACCCCCCTCCTCCTCCCGCGCGTTTTTCGAGTCTTACCCCCCCCCCCCCCCCCCCCCCCGGCACGTGCCGCAAAACGTCGGGGACAACGTGCCGGACAACACGCCGGGCCACCCACAAACGCCTCGCAGAGCTACAACTCTGAAAACCTTTTGCTCGGCATTATTCGCCCACGTCGTCTTGTCTGTTTACGTATTGATTTTTTTCCCCAGCTCCAATCAGCTTTCTGCTGCGTTCCGGCTATTTGTTTTTTACGCTTCTGAATTTGCGGGGTTATCCTTGCCTCTTGCGAGACTGTGAGTCAGAGGCGGCCTAGCGGAGAGAGAGGGGTGGGCCGGCGGGCAAGGCAGCTCTCCGTCCCATCTGCCCCCCTCCTGCTCTCCTCCTCATCTCATTGCCCGCCGTCTCCTTCCTCCCTTTGGGTGATGGTGGTTGTGTTGTTGTCGTTGGCGTTGCAGGGTGCCGCGACGATGGCGTACCCGACGGCGGTGAGCCAGCCGCTGCCCACGTACGGAATGGTGAGCGGCGCACGTATTTACGTGACACCCACGCCACCCACGCGCCACCCACGCGCCACCCACGCGCCACCCACGCTCCACCCACTCCACCCGGGGGGGCCATTTGTGAGCCACGCGTGACGACAATGATGTAGGCGGTGTGGCGGTGACGCGTCCACGCGAGATGTGGAGCTGTGCGCTGGAAACGTTCACCTTCGGATTTTCATTTGGAAGTGGTCGGCCACGTGGCTCAGCGGTAGAAGCGAGAGGCTCGTAACTGAAAAGTTGCGAATTCAAATCCAGGTTGGGGTGGGGGGGGGTTGACTCGGCCCATCATCATCATCCCTCATGAGTCAATAAAATTAGTACCACACTTTGTGGAGGGGAGAAGTTGGCAGAAATCGACTCGACCTAGAGATGCACTCGACCTAGAGACGCACTCGACCTAGATGTGCACGTAGGAACGTTGGAAATCCACTACTGCTGTAAAACTGGTGATGAGCAACCAATGCCCCAGTAGTCATTTGAGCAGAAAATCATTTGGAGTTGTATTTTTTTTATTTCTTTTTAGTCTTCTTTAAAACCACTGAAAGCTTGGTTAAAAGATGTCTTGTTTATCTTTATCTCGGTGGGGCGCGCGGGTAACGATGCACCCGCGTAACGATGCGCGCGCGTACGAAAGTCGATTGTTTTAAGATGCAGCCAACCCCCACGAGAATGTGGTAACGTTCCGGGCCGTTTGGTCGCGTGCCTATTAGTGCACCAGCTGTGATGGAGACCGGCTAAGGTCAAAGCACAGCGATGAGGGCACGGTCGCTCAAAGCGCGGTGGGGGACAGAAGCAAAGTTTTCATTCAGAGTTTACAACGAAATCACCTTGAAACTTTGCCCCATCTCTTCAGCCAAGCTTAAGATTTTGTCCGCTGGTGGTGCTTGAATGGGCCCACCGCCAAGCCTGCAAACGGGTGTTTGTTTTTCAGCTGCTGCTCGCCCAACGGCGTTGGTCATCAGAGGGCAGCGCAACAAAATGCGTCGTCGTACTATGAGGGCGACTTTGCCGCTTGGTTTAATCCGAACGAGTAATTTGGGGGCGCGCGTTTGCGATGATATGGAATCACATTGCAAAAGATCTTTGGCAAAAGGCGCTTATTTCATGGTTATCACGTCCGTAGGCATTAACACATCCGTAGTGGGGGGGGGGGGTGGCTGGGGGGGGTCTGGGGGGGGTCTGGGGGGGTGGTGGTGAATCTGGAAAAGGCCCCCTTTGTGTAAATCTACTGCTGGACGAGGGCCTCCGTGCACCTGTGCTGCAGGTCTGGGCGGTTATTGGTCTGTGCTGCCCGCGTTAACCCCCGCGAGCCCAGTGGCAGCGCCGTTTGAGCACGTGGATCGCCCCCGCCACCCGAAGCGCTGTCGTCCCCCGCTCGGGGGGGGGGGGGGGGGGGGCCTCGCTTGGCCTTACGGCTGCGGCGCTTTCCGGCTCATCCGCGTGTACGGCCGTAAGCTTGTGTACGTTTCTTGTGCAGATCCTATCAACAATCCCACACGCAAACAAATTCTCGGAAATCCCCCCCCCCTCCCCGCCGGCTTTCCGTGTTGGCCGCCGCCACCGCCGCCGCCGCCGCCCTTGTTTGTAGTGACAACAACAACGTCGTTGTGTAACGTCGGCTCTTGTATCGCGGGTCGTCGTTTGCGGGACAGTTCTGTGTTTTAGCTGCTGTTGTGTTTGGGGCCCCCCGCTCGGTGGCGAGTGACGTGCGGGTCGAGTGGCGGGCTGCTCGAGTGTGGAAGCGCGCCTCCCGGTCTCCGGGGCGATCGATTTTTAAGTGGCCGGGTGGTTTTGAGCAAACGCCGCGGTCGCCGGCGCCGCCGTATTGCTAAACAAACGCCCCGCGCGCGGTCGTCGGGGCGAGTCGAGCCGAGCGAGGGCGGCGCTCTGTGTCCCGTCAGTCCCAGCTGCCTGCCTCCCTCCTCCCCCCCCCCCGGACCCCCTTGGAGGGTTGAGAGAGTTGGGAATCCTGGCAATGGCCACCACTTGTGTGGGCACTCGAACCATGCGTCACAAACATCGGGCGGTGTCGCCTGCACCTGCCCAGCAGTAGCAGCAGCAGCAGCAGCAGCGTTCACACGAATGACTGCGTTCAGAGAGCAAGGGGCTGTTCCGACCCTCGCGACCGCCACGCCCGCCTATGATTTAGCGATTTTCCCACTCCGCCATTCGTGTGCGAATTGATCGGGGGCGCTGCCACAGCGCCCGGCGCAGCGGTTCCGATTCAATCTCCCGTTCTCGGTCCGCGTGGCAGACACGCTCACCGGATTCCTCCGGCATAAATAAATATTCTGATACTGATCATTGACCATGCCCACTCCTCTGCCGGCCTGCCCACCCCTTGCCGGCAGTCGTGAGTTGAACGCGAGGCCGATACGTTTTAAGCCGGCAGCGGTGGTGTCTCGCACATTTGAATCCAGCGCTGTGTGGAGGTGCGAGAGGGGTTGGTGGATCGCACAGATGTTGTGTAAATTCCGTCCCGTGGGCATCGAGGAGCCAGCCGTAACCTGGCTTGCCAGGATAAGGCCACCTGTTCGATCTCCATGAGATAGAGCGTTTCCCCCTCGCACGCGTGGGTTTATCTCTGGTTGCTCCGTTTTCCTCCCACGTGTGTAAGCACCCGTTCGTTGTCTGACAACATCATAAGAGATAGGGGGATCGCAGATGTCGGAATAAAAATGTCTGACTGATGCTGATATTGGTAGTAAGCGTGGCGATTTCTCGCGATCGAAGCTCTGATGATGATGTCACGACGATGGTGAAAACGCCATGGGCGGTGGGCAACGATGATGACTTGTAATCGTGGTGCAGCCGAAGAGAGGGAACCCACCTGATAGTACGCCCACCGTGGTTGTTGGAGCGACGGAATCATCGCGTGGCTGTGGTGGGGGGGGATGGTGGCTTGCGTCGGGGAGAGGCCTTAATCCAGCAACGAAGCGATCGCGGCTGTTGATAGCGATGATAGTGTGGCGATGACGACGACGACGACGTTAACGGTGGTGGTGGTTGGTGGTGGTGGTGATGCGGCTCCTGCAGATGGGTGTGCCGATGGTGGGAGTGCCGGTCATGGGCCAGCAGCCCATGTTGTTCGCTCAGCCCGGAGTCCGGCCGACCAACCCCTTCGGGCCCGTGCCTGGGACGCAACAGGTAAAAGGCGTCGCCCGCCTGTGCACTCACTTGGAGCTGGGTACCTAACAATTATTTGACTTCATTTGATTACTCCTCCGAATTTGTCGGTTCAATTAAACAACGAATCGGGCTACGCGGTTGTAGTTTGTGGTGGGAGGTGGGGGGAGGAGATGAGGGGGTTTGGGGGGAGTCTCTCGCCCCCTGTTGCCACGTGTGCACCGCTCTCGGATTACTGGACATCTGTGAAAAAGGGCTTCTTGTAGCTCATCGGATTCCTCCAGTATAAATCAAGATTCTGATTCTGATTGCGAGTGGCCCCCGAAAACCATTGCACGAATTCTGTGCTTTGGGTCCGCCCGCGATGTGAACGTACGTGCGAAACGTATGTTGAAGTTCTTTCGCGCCGTACGTAGCCGCCAACTGTGCGAATGGGAGGTGTGGGGGCGATGAGCATAAACGTGGGAGCGTAGCAGAGTAGTACAACAATTAAGTTTCGCTGGCATTGACCTTGACTGCCCCACAACGTAGCACCACGGCAGCCCACCACTCCTGTGTTCACAGTGGTAATTCACACAAGCACTGACCAGCTCAACCCCTGTTTCCTTGTGTGTATGTATATTGAAGTTCTTTTGCACCGTACTTAGCCAACAGTGCTAATCGGAGGTTTTGGGGGGAGAAGAACAGTAAACTAAACGCACAAAAAGCAGTTGTACAAAAATGAGTTTGTCAATCTAGATTTATAAGTGCTTAGCTCCCAGTGGCTTCCTAATATCGTAAGGAAGGAAGAGCCGTTCCAGACGGCCGCAGAAGCGCACCTTAAAGCGCCGCGCGATGATGATGCCGTGACCACCGTCTTTGTTCAATGGTCGGCCAAAATTTGATCTTTAAGTCTGTGGTCTGGCCCCAGCGTCAGTGCTCCACTCGCAAGGGCACACACCCACAGGGTGCGGCCATAAAGAAAGATGCACCCCCGAAAATGTTGAAATAGCTCTCACCTTTGTGAGGACTTTGTCCGCCCCAGGATCAGAATCAGAATCTTTATTTATCCCGGAGAAATCCGACGGGCTTCTTTTTCGCATTGTAATGTCCAGCAGGGAAGGGTCAGAAAGTTACAACAACAAACAATACGCAAAGAAGGATCAGAGTGCAAAGCATGGGGGAAAAAGGTAAGCTCATCACTAAAAATAAATACACCTAAACCTAACTTCTGATTTTGCCAGGGTAAAAGCCACCAAGCTATTTAGCTCCCTTTCAGAAGCGACCTGGCCACAAATGACAGCTCAACGAAGTGGCGCATTTGAAGCTTTCTCGATGAAAAAAAAAGCAAGAATCTCACCAGTAAATATTATATTAAAAGTCATCTCCGCGCGCGATGTCAATCTTTTCCCCCATGGTGCCAACAACAAACGAGAACTATTCCGCAATCCGACTCCAGCGGGTTGTTGGCATTCCGCGTGCGCTGGCAGTGGCAACTGGTCGTCGCCGAGTGGTACACGACATCATCCGTAACGCGGCGATGGATGCGGCGGGACCGGCTTGCCCGACTCTGGCAGCGTTGGTCGCATGAACGGGCGAAGACCACGCACCGGAATATTGCTGCGGCTTACAGCTCGCCGTGCGGAGCGGTGGCGGGGGGGGGGGTCTGCGTCTCGAAACGTCGTGGCGTCACCTTGTGAGCGGAGGTTTTTCACGCTCGCGGAACGTTTGAATCCCCATGGAATCGTTGGCACGCGTCGTAATCTGCACGGTCAGCGCAGTTTGATTTTTGGCTTGCGCCGCTGGCTATAGACTCGAAACTTTTCATTTTGCCAGGGAAAAGGGCCACTGAGCTGCATAGCTGTTTTTTTGAGGAGCGACCTGGCGATCACAAACGACCGCGCAACAAAGTTGCTTGTCACGTCGAAATTTATTTGCAGCCAAATACCCTGAAGGCGTGTTGGTTCTAAATGTGGAGGGAAAAACAGGAGGACCCGGTGGAAAATCCACGCGACCACGGGGAGAGAGACACACAAACTCCAAATATACAGGCGCCGGGATCGAACCCGCGTCCTCCTGCGTGCCAGGCGTAGGTAGCTAACATCTCCTAGCCACCGTGATGATGATGATGATGAGAGAGGGACGCAAACTCCAAATATACAGCAGGCGTCCGAGTCGGGATTGAACCCGAGACTTCCTGCGTACCAGACGAGTTAGCTAACATCTCCAAGCCACCGTGATGATGATGGGAGAGACGCAAGCTCCAAATATACAGCAGGCGTCAGGGTCGGGATTGAACCCGCGACTTCGTGCGTACCAGGCGAGGTAGCTAACATCTCCAAGCCACCGTGATGATGATGGAGAGACGCAAGCTCCAAATATACAGCAGGCGTCAGGGTCGGGATTGAACCCGTGACTTCGTGCGTACCAGACGAGTTAGCTAACATCTCCAAGCCACCGTGATGATGATGAGAGAGACGCAAACTCCAAATATACAGCAGGCGTTAGGGTCGGGATTGAACCCGTGACTTCGTGCGTACCAGACGAGTTAGCTAACATCTCCAAGCCACCGTGATGATGATGAGAGAGACGCAAACTCCAAATATACAGCAGGCGTTAGGGTCGGGATTGAACCCGTGACTTCGTGCGTACCAGGCGTGGTAGTTAACATCTCCTAGCCACCGTGATGATGAGAGAGAGAGAGAGACGCAAGCTCCAAATATACAGCAGGCGTCCGAGTCGGGATTGAACCCGAGACTTCCTGCGTACCAGACGAGTTAGCTAACATCTCCAAGCCACCGTGATGATGATGGAGAGACGCAAGCTCCAAATATACAGCAGGCGTCAGGGTCGGGATTGAACCCGAGACTTCCTGCGTACCAGACGAGGTAGCTAACATCTCCAAGCCACCGTGATGATGATGGAGAGACGCAAGCTCCAAATATACAGCAGGCGTCAGGGTCGGGATTGAACCCGCGACTTCCTGCGTACCAGGCGTGGTAGCTAACATCTCCTAGCCACCGTGATGATGATGGAGAGACGCAAGCTCCAAATATACAGCAGGCGTCAGGGTCGGGATTGAACCCGTGCCTTCCTGCGTACCAGGCGTGGTAGCTAACATCTCCTAGCTACCGTGATGATGATGGAGAGACGCAAGCTCCAAATATACAGCAGGCGTCAGGGTCGGGATTGAACCCGTGCCTTCCTGCGTACCAGGCGTGGTAGCTAACATCTCCTAGCTACCGCAGCTCACTTGAGCAGCACGCATACCGAGTCTCCAGTTTGCGGATATTTGTTCAAATAAATGCAATCTTTTTTTTTATTAAAGGTGGGGGAGATGTTTTCCTCGATTACAAAAAAATATACGCCCTGAAAGAAAGCTGTCTTAATTCACACACCTTGGCATTTCACAACCAATATCCATAAATAAGGGGGGGGATGTTTTTTTTTTCGGTTAGATCGTGTAAATATAAATGTGTTGTTAACCCACCACCATCGTGGCGGGTAAAAAAAACCTTTATGATGGGCAAATATTTACAACTCAGAATAATAATTTGATACGTATATAGGACGTGGCAACACATTTGTTCACCAACATTTCCACCCACTTGCACTGCGCTTTCCACGGATGAAATAATAATATATTTTACATGCGGTCATGTAGGAGGAGGAGCTTGAAAATGTTTTTGTTATTTAAGTGGATCAATTTTTGCTGCTTGTAATTGGGAACCGCCATTTGTTCGTCTGGGTCTTTGTACCGCGTGCGTGTCCGTGCGTGCACGCGTTTACAGGGTTGCTTGCGAAAAATTAGTCTCGCTGGAACTGCCCTCACTACATCTCGCTCTCTCTGTCTCTCCCCATCCTGGACGTGTGTGCCTTGCTCACCTCTCGCCTATCCATCGATTTGCACGCTTTTACTTTTTTTTATTTTTACAACTTCTGCCCTCGTCCTCCACCTGTCTCGCCGCCTCCCCGCCCTGCACGGCGTTTATCTCGTTTGACACGCTCGCTCGAACGCGCGCCCACGCCCACTCCTCATCCGCACCTCACCGTTTCTTCGCCTCACCTCGCCCTGCCCTGCCTTTCTCTACCCCCGCCTCTTCCTTCCCTCTCCACTCTCCGCCTGCCCTTTGCCGCCTTGGCCCGTGCTGCCCCGCCATCCGTTGCCAGGCGCTGCTCCATCCTTCCTCTCCTTTCCCCCCACCCCCTCTCGTCCCTGCCCTTTCCCCGCGACGCCGTGTCGCTCCGCCGCGTAGTTTCCCGTCTCCCTGTCCCAGACGTCTCTGTGCCACCCCCAGCAGCCCCCCGCACGGGAGCCCCCCCCCTCATCCTCGTCCTCCTCAGGCCTCTCCGTCCAGGATTTCTTATAACGAGCCCTCGCCACAGGTATGGGCGGCCTCCCACACTGCTGCTGGTGCTGGACGCCACTTGCCCAGCTGCCCTTGCCCAACGGCACGACTGGCCCACTCTGTCACTGCCCCCGCTCTCTCTTGTTTGTGCGACTGACCTCTCTCTGGCTATGACTGCCCCCTCTCTCCCATTGTCTCCTCTCTCTGTGTCTATCCCCCTCTGTGTCTCTCCCCCTCTGTGTCTCTCCCCCTCTGTGTCTCTCCCCCTCTGTGTCTCTCCCCCTCTGTGTCTCTCCCCCTCTGTGTCTCTCCCCCTCTGTGTCTCTCCCCCTCTGTACACGTGCGTGACTGCCATCGTGTGCGACTGCCACCCTCGCATCTTTGACCCGGCTGCGGGCGTTACTCACCCCATTGCCCGTCACTGACCACCCACATCCAAATATTAACCCCCCCTACCGCCTGCCCTCCTGTGTATGTGCTGTGTGTGTGCCTAGCACAAACACTTTGCCCACCCGGGGCCCCTGGTTGTTATTTTTTTTGCCGGAGATCTCACGAGCGCAAACACGTTGCACACTCGCGGAAACAAACACCGCCAGATGTCGGGGGCCCTCGGCCGACGTGCCCACCCCCCCCCCCCCGGGTTTCTCCTCTTGACAGACCCGGTGGCTACGTTCGTGCCCGCCACAATTCCCGCCGCTGGCGTACGGCGGCTGCCCATGGCCGTACGCGCACGCGAGGCGACAGGCCGGACGGACGTTAGATGGCAGGCGCACGCTTGCACACGAGTTCGAAGCCGGCATTATTGACAGACCACGGAAGAAAAATCAGGACCCCCGCATGTCCTCCTCGTAAGCATTTAGTCGGCGATAATTACTGGAAATCTGTGAAACTACCGGACAGCTGTGCAAGAGAGCTTCATAGCTCATCGGATTTCTCCGGGAGAAACAAAGATTCTGACAACGTGAACGTTTCAACGAGACGATGTCACGGTGGGGCGTGTGGCGTCACGGCATAGCGGCACACACGATGACCTCTGCACTGTGGAGGAAGGGGGAGGTGCCGGTTTCGTCACTCCCTATTCGTCGCTGGGTTTTTAGTCGCCAAATTGTGGACGGTCCTTTGATAAATGTGGCTGCGTCTTCTATTGGTTAAGTCCCGAATAGCAATGCAAATTGGGATTAAAGTTTTGTTCATATTCGAGCGTCTTCACGACAGCTAATTACGTCTCCCCCCTCGCAATTACACGCTGATGCACAGAGAGCTTCTTAGCTGCAAAGCATTAATAAGTTTCAAATGCACGATGAAAGTGGCGCTCGGGAATGGTCCATCCTGGAAGCTCTCCTCAGCCTCCGTAGCAACAGAGTTTATTCTCAATGTTTGAGGATCCAGATTGGGGCCTTAATCCCATCATCTGCAGCTGGGCGCCACGGTAGCTAGGAGATGTTAACTACCTCGCCCGGTATACAGGAGGTCGTGGGTTTGAACCCGACCCTGACGCCTGTTGTATATTTGTAGTTTGCACGTGTCTCTCTCCCTGTGGTCACGTGGGTTTTTCTCCAGGTCCTCCGGTTTTTATCTCTGCATTCATAAACATGCTTTCAGAGTTATTCAATCGCTATAAATTTTTTACATGATCAGCCACTAAGTTGAGCTATCATTTGTGGCCAGGTCGCTTCTGAATAAGCGCTGCATAGCTCAGTGGGCCTTACCTGGTAAAATAAAGAAATATAAAGTTTACAAAGCTGTTTTCTAAACACTCCCCCAGTATTCTTGGTTCTTTCGGTAAAGTCACGTAGAAGGGAAACAATATAATAAAAATATAAAACAATAAAATCCTCACGACGTTTCGACTGCAACACAAGAAGCAATCATCATCAGGTTGGAAAACCACAGCAAGAAAATTTTAAAAAAGTGGCGTTTTTTTTTAACGTTAGCACCACGGAGAGCGATTTGGCAGTTATTCAGATGGACGAGTCCATCTATGTTCGGAAAAGAGGAGGGGGGAGACGAAAATAATGGATGTGGTCTGAAAGCCACCATAAGCGTGAACAATCAATTAAGACTCGAAATGGTTTATCAACTCCCCCAGTATTTCACCAGCCTCTATTAAAACAGAGCCTTGACCTCTTAAGAAAAGAGTTTCGGCCAACAAGAAATGTAGCGATGACAGGAAGGTCTGTAATCCCAGCAGAGCTGACCATCTGTTAGCAAGGATTAATTATCTGCTAAATAATTAAACTCTAAGTGTGCTTTCCACTTATTGCCCGAAATCGGTGAATAATGGTTAGAGATAAGAGCCTTTAAAAGGGGGAGGGTTATCGTCTATATATTGCCTGAACCACTGTGGGTCTCAGGTGGAGAGAATGGGGGGGGGCTGGAATGGAGGTCTCCATGCTCATTGTATTGCTGTAACATTTTGTCCCCACGCCCCTCAATGGACATCTGTGATAAAAGAGCTTTACAGCTCATCGGATTTCTCCTGAAGTGTAAATAAAGATTCCGATTCATAGAGTTGGCACGACGCGCCTCGCTGCTGTTAAGAATTGCCGGCACAACATTTTGTAACGTCATGATTTGTCGTTGCAATTTTTTTATTCATATTCAGCATAAAATATTCCCAAGGGGCTGCCCGCGATACGGCGGCGATGTGGCGGTGTACCGCACGAGACGAGCCTCCCCCGGTGATCGTATCGTCCGTTTGGCAGAAGCATCGCCGTATCGTGTGAACCTCGTTTTCCGATTTCCTTTCTATGTTCATTGACATTTGTATCGCCTTTCAATCACGTTTAAAATTCACTCGCGCCGCCCCTCGCATTTGCACGGGAAAGATGGCCAGGCTGGTCGGAGTGGGGGGGGTGGGAAGGAGTTGGGGGGGGGGGTGGGTATCGCCACCTTGCGCTTGCCCACCCCAGCCAGCAAAACTGGCTCGCAGGCTCTCGTAGCGGGCTCGCGTTGCAAGTCGAATAACTTTTACGCCGTCCTTATTCGTACCGGAAGCACGGCAAAAGCACAATGCGCTAATTGTGCGAGCTGCGAGTACACAAGTTATAGACACCGGATTTCACCATCGTCGTACCGTGAACGTCGACGTTGTGAAAAACTACATCGCGGCGACCCTGGTTAACGACAGCCGTCGGGAGACCCCCACGATCGTCGGTTGGCAGCGGGCGCTGTCCTTGAAGTGCCAAGCTGTGTTGTGTGCGTGCGTGTCTGTCTGTCTCGGGAGGAGCGTTAGCGCGTGGCGCTTGGCGAGCTGAGCCTAGGAACCCGGCCACCCGAGTTCAAATCCCGCCCACGGCCACCAACACCCATTGACGATTATCGGAACCGGTCCTGGGCCTCCCCTAGCTTGACTCGGCCTCAAATGAGTACCTGGAGCAGTGCGTAAATATCGATGCTATGGAGGCAAAGGCAGCCGGGCCTTGGTGCTGTGACCACCCATCCCCCCTCGTGTGCCGCCGGGCTAAGGTGCTCTATAAATATAAAATCAGATAAGATAGGTGCTCGCTAACAGCACTTGCGCCAAAATTCTTGTGTGTGCTTTTGGGTTGTGCCGCGCGAGTAAGTTGTTTGGCACGATGTCCTGCTTCTTTTTCTTCTTCGCTCCAGCTGCTGTGAAGCTTCTTGGGGAATTGAATGAAGTAGGAGGAAACTAGCACCTTGTGGTAACAACCCAAAATACAGCTGAGAGCCCGTACAGCACAACTGCACAGACATACCCAGTAAGAGTTTTCGTCCTCTAGGTGTGGGGTCCCCATGTTGGGGGTTTACTGATTAACCTATTTTCCCCTGGTAAGCCTTGCTGTCCTGTTAATTGATTATTCCATGCGGTGATATCGTCATCGTCGGTGTTGGTGGCGGTGGTGGTGGTAGTGGTGTTTCCCATCTGCACTGCCCTCGGATGTGCCCTGTTGTTGGTGTTGTGTTGGCAGGGATTCTGACCTCATCTCACTCATCCTCCCTAACCTTAGCTTTTGATGTTTTTCACGATAATAATGCTTTTAATAATTCTCTTTATCTGTCTATCCGAGAGCCTCATTGAGTTTCAAAATGCATTTTCAGAATGACCCTGCCCTGAATTATGACTTTGTGACATGTCAGTGAAATTCCCCGAATAATATTAATCGTAGTTTTATATTTAATGATAATAATAATTGTCAAAGGGTACTTGAATCACAGTAACCTTGGGGTTGGTTAGTCGATGGTTGAGTGAGGGAGTGAGCAAGGGAGTTAAGTATGGGACGAGTGGGTGAGAGTGATCGAGAAAGGGGGTCTTGAACAGCTGAGTTACTGAACAAGGAAATGAACGAGTGCGCGATTGTGATGGCGAGTCAGTACTTGGGTGAGTGACAGAGCGGGCGAGCGGGGCTGGCGAGCTGTGACGGTGAGCGACACGTTCTCTCCCGTTCCGCTTGTGCCGCAGATGCAGTTCATGTGACGTGAGGACGAAGTGCCAGCGCAGGCCGACTCAGGAGGAGGGCGCAGGCGCCTGGGCGAGGAAGGGGGGGGGCCCCCCCACACACAGGACCCGTTCCCCCCCCCCCCCCCCCACCGCGAGCCCCCCACGAGCCCCCCTCCCCCCCACTACGGTGCGCACACCACCCAACCCGAGCCGTCCGCCCCCACCCTCCACCTCCACGAGGCCTGGGCCGCGTTACGTTCTGCATTCCCGTTATTACGTATTTTATTTTTTTCTTTTGCATATTTTTTTTCCACATCTTTTACAAAGTTTGAATCAAAAAAATATATATATGTACGTGTGTGAGTGCGAGTGCGTGTGTGCGCGCATATATATAAATAATTACAGTGACGAATACAAGTGAAACAACGGTCAGAGCAGCAGTAGCAGCAAGAAAAAACGTGTGCATTATAAAATAATTGATGGAAAAAAAAACACCCCACACGCAAAGCGGAAATCATATTACTTCTATATACATTTACAAAGTGTACAAAACCCTCAAGAGATTAGCAGGACCGCCCTGCCGTGTTCCGGTGCCCGCGGCTCGGAGGTGACCTTGCGCCTCCTGCGAGAGAGTCGCCCACCCATGCCGGGGCCGCCCCGCTCTCCACCGACGTCCACCGCCCGCCTCGCCGGGGACGGGGACGACGCCGTGGACCGCGCCGCGAGATTTCACGCGGCGCGTCTCGCTCTTCCGCCCTCGCCGCCCTTGCCGCCACCCCTCGCTACCTCCGCAAACTTCGCAAACTTCTCCACCCTCGCCACCCCCGCCACCCTTGTCGCCACCCTCACGACCTCCGCAACCCCTCTCCGTCACCCTCGCCACCCCGTCGCCCCTCGCATCCGCGTGGATGGATGCATTGTGGCGGCAGTGGGTGATGAGGCCACGATCCGTTGTTGTACTGTACTTCTGTGCTGTCGAGTCTATGCTGTCCCCTGCCCTTCACCAGCCCGCACTGACCAGGGTGGTGAAGAAGTACGGTGATTGTGACTGCCCACTCCCCACCACCGTGACCGGCACGGAAAAGGCCCCGATGCAGCAGGGGATGTTCACGCTACCTAGAATACCCACACCCGTACGACAATACGGGTCACTTGAGACCTAAGCACTGTGCTCGGGCGTCGACTGTGCCAGCCGCTGGCGGGGTCTGGCAGAAGGGAAGGGGGATCGGTGGCGAGGCGTGGGCAGCGCCAGCGGCGTTGGCCGTGGTGAGAGCTCAGGTGCGCGTCCCCAGCCGCCACCCAGCTCGTCCGTGACCCCAGATATCGGGTCTCGAACTTGTCGCTACCGCCCGTGGTGGGCGTCACTTGGCAAATTGTAACCTCTGCGTGTTGCCAATGACGGCGAGTTACGTGACAACCACGTGAATCGAGTGGGGTCATCCAATAATTGAAGCTTTGGCCGCCGTATAAATAAATTGGCCTCGCAAAACGTCGTTTGCGACCTCAGTTGGTACCAATGTCTGCTGTGTGGCCCATGGACTCGGAGCGGGATGCCTCCGATTGGGGAGGGGACACGCAGGCGACGGTGGGTAGGGGGTCACTTAAGTTCATCATGGGGGGCGGGGGGTGGGTAGAGGCCCCCTGTGGTTTTCCCATAGCATCACCACTGCCCTCCACCACAACCACCACTGGTCCCGAATCAAACCTCGCTTGTACTTTTACCGCCACATTTAGGCTGGAGAGCATCCCTTTTTAACAAAAACAAAAAAAATGCGTGTTTAAACGGTGCTGGATATGCTGCTTGCGGTCGGCACCCGGCGCGCTCCCTCCGGCACCGGCGTGAGAATTGGAATCGGCGTGGCCACCCACACCGAGATTCTAGCCCACCACCACCGAGGTGGTTCAGGTTCGAACATTCGGACGGCACGAGAGCCGGCGGCCTCTGCTGCTTTGTACGGCGACGGAGGCTGCGGCTCTGCGTGGTTTTATTTTTTTCACAATCAAAATCTTGATTTGGACTATGAGAATCCGATGAGCTGAACGAAGCTTTTTTTTTCACAAAATGTCAAGTCGGGATCAAATCGGGGGTGTGGGGGGGGGGCGCTGGCGTGGGAAGGAAAGTCACGGCAGGTGGTAACGCAAACTTGGCGGTGAAATCCCCTCTGCGCCGATTTAACGTGCGGGCTTTGCGAATCGCCGAAAAGGCGCCGGACCGTTGAGTTTGTCCGCTGACGAAGTCTTCGACAGGGTCCCTGGCCCTCCGCCGCACGGTGAACGTCGCGCAGGGACGCGGTTTCCTGCGCGTAGTAAAAAAAACAAACGCGTGGCGGAATAGAATTTTGGGACGAGCGTATGCGGCCGATTTTATTTTGTTCGGTCGATTACCGCAATGATGGAAGAGCAGCGCCCCCCCCCCCTCCTCCTCCTCCCTGGAGTCCCGCACGTGACGGCCGGGGGCGTCGCGGCCCGCCGCTCGGGGGCCCCTCGACCATCATCTTGCCGCTCCGCGACCGGTCTCGGGGTTTCTGACGCCGTTCGCCGGTTGTGTTGTCAGGCGGTTTCCCCGCGTGCCGCGGACGGCGTTTGCGCCGCCGCTCTGTGATAAACGGGTCGGCTGCCAGGTATGTAAACATGTTTACGCGTGCGATTGGGCCTCCTCGCTCGTGGTGTCATTGAGCAGGTGGTGTGGTGGAGAGGTGGGTGGGAGCCGTGGGAGCGGGGGTGCTGGCTGGTGTGGTGGTGCGGGGGTGGGGGGGGGGGGGCTGCACTCGCTCTGTGTTTTGAGCTGCGTCTCATCGGATGTCGCGTTCCCCGCTTCTTTTCCCCCACCCCACCAAACGATTTGGCATCTCCGGCGTTGCTCAACGTGTCGTGGGAACGTGCCCAGATTCGCAGGTCGAGATTAGACGAAGCCACGATGGTGGCGGGGGGGGGGTTATCGTTAATCGTGGGCGCCGATCAGTCATCTCAGTCGGTCAACCCATGGGCACCCTCTGGCGGCTGTCCCCGTGACCTCCCTGACGGCCAGCGAGCCTTCGACACCTCCACGTGGCCTCGGGAGCGTTCGCCTGGCCCCTGGCACTGCCGCCGTGGTGGCATCGCCGTGGCTTCTGTGGCGAATTGGCGGCTGTTGGCATCGGTGGCTGCGGCCTTGGAAGACTGATCACGGCTGGCCCCGTGTTGACAGATCCAAAGGAATTGTTTCCCCCCCCCCCCCCTTACGATCGGGGAGGGGAGGTGTGGGCTCGGGCGTGTGAGGTCCCTGGTGTTCTCCGGCATTTCCACCACCCCCCCCCCCCCCCGACTCGCCGCCGCGCTCTTCGTTCTTCGCCGTTCTGTTAAACAAACAAAAAGGGTGCCTTAGTTTGGCTCTCCGAGCACGAGGCATTACCGCTGGTCAAAGAATGAGAGTGTGAAAGCGAGAGTGGCTCATGGTGTGGGTGCGTGCATCAATAAGCGGAATGTGGGGTGCAGTGGCGAGCGACATCCAAATCGGTGCCGACTCTGCCGGTCGGTAAGACTCGCCCGTTAATTCGTCGCTGGCGTGCTGTGTAAAACATCAGCAAATTGGGGAGACAAAGGCGGCCGGGGCATTGTTCAGGACACAGCCACCACCTCGTGCTTCTGCCCCCCCCCCCCCCCCCCGGCCTTTCGTATGTACTGGCCAATAGCACTTGGAGCTCTAAGGCTATGTACGGGCGATCTTTGTCCCCTGTACTGGTAGTGAGTGGCAAGGGTGCGTGCTGTAAGGGGGAGAGAGCGCGTGTCAGAGCTGCCCGCACCTTCTCCCTCTGCTAGGTTAGTTGCCATTGGAACTCACCCTGGGCACGTGGGGGTTTTGAACTCGGGGAAATCGGTTCGGGCGGTCGGAAAGAAGGCGGCGGGGTTGACGCGTTTGTTAAATCTATAAACCTTGACCTCCTCCTGCTTCGGTGGGTGGTGGCGGATGGTGAGGGGGTGGGTGAAGAGGCCTTCCACCCACTGCGACCCCCGTCCCTGCGCGAGCCGTCAACCCTCGAGCCGGCCCTGGGTGGCAGGGGGGGTGGTGGCGCGCCAAGCCCCCTCGTGAAGTGGGTTTAATTGTTGGTCGATCCCGAGTTCAGAAAGTATTACCGGGGGGGGGGGTGGTGGTGGTGGCGCCAAATCGTGACCTCGAAGCCGCGCGGCGCTGCCGGCCGAGCGAGCAACCCCCCGGCTCCTCGACCCCGGCCTCGTCGAGGCCGCGCGTGCAACAGCGCAGCTGCGTGAATTCACCCATTATTATATAACGACAGTGCTACAGCGTCTGCGATCGTTACGATGTTGACGAATTCCCCCATCCCACTCTTATCCCCCCCCCCCTTGCCGTGCCACGTGGTGTTCAGCCGGCGCCGTTGATCGGTGCAGTGCAGCAGTAGTCACGTTTTGAACACCCCACGGCGATGGTCACCCCCCCCCCCCCCGTGACAGCGTCTAGTGACGCTGCCGAGAGGCGCAATCCTGGACATTGTTTTTGTACCCCCCCCCCCCCCCAAAATCCCATTCTTTTGGCGTCCCCTTAACCCACACCCGACGCTCGTTGGCACCTCGGCAGCTCGCGGGATAGAGAGGCTGGTCCGCTTGGTGCTCCCTGGGTCTTCATTGTGACCGGCAGTGGAGAAGGAACGGACTGGTTTCGCCCGCTTCCTGTGGACCACGCGGGAGAGATGGGGGGGGGGGGACCCCCGGCTGAAGAGGAGCCTGAATAATTCCTCACGGAGAGATGCTTCTGGGTGATGGAGGGATGTAGGTGGCTGGGCGTGGTGGGACGATTCGTGTGTGAGCTGCCCCAACTTAATTCCCTCGCTGTGGAATTGGCCGCCTGCTCCAAAATGTTTTGGTGTCTTTTCGTGTTGTTTTGTTTTAAAGCCCCCCCCCCCTCCCCGGTTTTGTTATTTTTGTTGAATAATGTTACAGTTGATTACATTTCGCAAATTGGAAAAGCCCCCCGCCGAGGAGGGAATCCCGATGATGCTTTGTAAGGATTGCTTTTTTTACGGAGCCATTTGGAGTTATGTTTCTGCGATCAATTTATGATTCTCTGTCATTGATGAATTGTACAATCTCGCTTTCTCTCGCTCTCTTGTTATGAAACGGCTGCGCTGCGTGTGGCGAGTCCACCAGATTCCCTCCCTGCGCCCACGAGAGACTCCCAACCCACCTCGTTCCATCGCCCATCTCGAATCCACCTCGGTCCCCCGAGCACTTCACAGGCCAAACTCTCGAGACGTTTTAACAAACAAACAAACAAAAAAACCCAAACACAGTGGTAAACCCACTTTAGGGCCATGGTCACAGTCCCCACAGCCTGATAAAGTTGGTATCAATTGCCCACAACCCAAATCCAGTCCATCTCGACACGAAATTTGGTATCTAGGGAATGTTTTTAGCCGTGACTCTTAACTCCGACCCAGTTCAACACTCGTCTAACCCAGGTTTAAGGCCTCCCCGCTCCCGATTTTGACCCAGTCCAACTGTTGGCTCAACTGGTTTAGGGCTATGACTGTAGTCTCGTACTTGATCCCTAACCCAGGCTTAAATCCATCCGGGTTTAGAGCCGTGACTAACGCATTACAACTGGACGTGAGGTCAGTTTGAGGCTTGTAGTCGTAGCTTGGGGTCACGTGTCGTATTAAACGCCTTAGAAAGAAAAGCATCCCCTCCCGCCACTGAACTCGCCTTTAGCAACCCGAGCCCCCTACGAGCCCCCTACGAGCCCCCTAACTCAGACCGAGAGCCCCATTTTAGTCACCAGACCTTTTGGTCAAATTGCGATCGGGGGTTACCGGGGTGAACCTCTCGGGTGGGAGGGGGGGGGAGACACGGGGAGGGTGGTTGGTGAGCTCAGTCCACGCCGCAGTGTGGCTGCCACGGGTGTCCCCCAGTGTTCCACATTTTATTTTTTTCTGGGGACATCAGCGTCCATCAGGGGGAGCCTCGCCCCCCCCCCCCCCCTTTGTAAATGTGTTCATAATTGTCGATCCCCCTCTTTGTTGTCATCGGCGGGCTGTGCTGGCTCATTTAAGGCGTGTTCCAGTTCCATTGTTTTTGTTTGTAACGGCTCTCGATGTTCAAGTCTCTGTCGAGCGCTAAAGTCAAGATGTGTGCATTGACCTGCAACGCCGCGTTCCGTGAGCGGTGATTTTGTGGGGGGGGAGGGGGGGAGGCCTCCAATTTTAATTCCGATTTGGGCGATCAGCGTGGCGTCGTGAGATGAATTTCCTTAAGGACCCTGTCTGCCGCTGTAATGCGGACCGCCCTCTGCGTCAAGAGAACCGCACCGACGGAAGTTGACCTAAGAGAACTACTTCGGAAGCAAGTCGCCTCGCTTATCCACACGAGGGGGGGGGGGTGGTTGTGGGGCCACGCGGGTTTTTTGTGTTAATGCCACGAAAAGAGTACGTCGTCGCATGCCAAGTCTAACCGAAATGTTTAATTCTCAGATTTATAATTTGCCGAATTAAATGAAAACCAAATTTAACGTGGTGGATTTGTTTGTTTTTTTTTGTCTACTTACCGGGGCTGAGACCATCATCACTTTGCTCCCTTGAGGAAGGGGGGATCCTGCTTTAATGCCGGGGCGGCGGCTGTAACCCGGGGTCGAACCCCGGGGTCGAACCCCCCCAACGGGGTCTCGGCGATGCCGCCTCGGGGTCTCTCGACCCCACCGAGCCCACGTTGCCAGCTCCTCCCCCCAGTCGGCGGTGCCGTACGGACCCGGTCGTCTCCACGTTTGTGCGGCTTTGCCAATCTCCACCGCTCGCTGACGTTGGCACTCGCACGGTTTTGAGCAGCGTCGGAAGCCAACTGGAAAACGCCTTAACTATTCATCCAGTTCGATCCTATCACGGGGGTGGGGCAGCTCGAAGAGCCCTCCGTGTGTCTATCCGTGTGTGTCTCTGTATATCTCTCCGTTGCTCTCTATCAGTGGGCTGGATCAGCCCCCCCCCCCTTTTGCGGGGTGGCCTGTTGACGCTTTAAGGCGCGCGTTTGAGATGGAAATAAAAAGGCGCCTTCTGGCTGAACCCAACAACCCCTTCGTGATGTCACCTCGCCCCGACACGGCGAGAAGCCCCCCCCCCCTCCAGAAAACCATCTTCAGCTCCCCGGGGGTTGCCTCACTGCTCCAACCAGTTGCGGAGACGTGCACGTGTAAGCGACTGTTGCGTGCTACCAAGTTGCGAAGGCGATCGTTCAGGCGTGGATCCACGTTGACACGACTCTTGGCTTTGTGTGTGTGGTAGCGTGCTGGCTACGCGCGCGGTAAGTCACGCGCCTTTTTTTTCAACAAGCAAAAACCAATGTGGGGTTTTCTGAGTCGTTTTATAAATGCAAGTGGCTCTTTGGGTTACGTGGTTCTTTTAAATTTGGTCAACCGAATAGGGATTCGGTAATTCGGATTGACCTCGCCTGCCCCCCCCCCCCCCCCCCCCCGTCATTGATGAAGAGAAACGCTGACGACCACGTGGAGTCGGGCGAACCGCGACTCGGACAGGGTTTTCCTTTAGCATACGTGCCAAATCATCGACAAGCCTTTTTACATACATGTACAATTACATGTACAATTACATACATACATGTACAATCACCTTCAACGAGACACCAAACGTGAGGTTTTTTTTTTTAAAGAAGAATGACGTTAAACATTTAATGTACAGACAAGATGAGTGACGTGAATATATACAGGGTACTTCAATAAAACATGTTCACACTTCTGAGAATTTTGCAACAATACCACCAGAATTGCGCTCCCTCCAGGCTCTGGAGACCACGTGAAGAAGATTCCAGGCCACGCGTTGACAACGATAGCGAACAAGTGGGAGACTCTTGGACTTTTTGAAGCTATCAACATCACATCTGTTATCATGTTACAGTGTGTTATATTATCCGTTCCTTTTTGTTAATAATTAAAAACGATAGTTGTTACACAACAAGGCGATGACTGAGAATAATTGGAGAAAGGAAAAGTTCGTTATCTTGGACATGTGATGACAAGACGAGGGGGTGGAATATGTTTTGACTCGGAATCGAATAATAGTCACAAGAAGCCCTGGAATATCTCGATGCGACTGGCAGGAGAATCCAATGCAAAGTTCTCGAGTAAATATCAGAATCAAAATCAGAATCTGTATTTAAACTGGAGGAATCCGATGAGCTGTAAAGCTTTTTTTTCACAGATGGTGCAGTAGGGGCACGGAGTAAGAACGTTACAACAACAAACAGTTCAATAACACGATCGTAGTGCAAAGTACAAGAAAGGTAAACATCACGCAGACACAAACAAATACAAAACGACACCATTCCCATCCTACCAAGCACGGGCGGAGATGAATTGGAAGAAGCCCATAAATGTACACGATGTGTCATTTGTATGCGTGTACGTTGAACTTCTTTCGCACCGTACGTAGCCAACCGTGCTGATCGAAGGTGCGAGAGAAGGACGACAAACTAAACACAGAAAGCAGTGCTCAAGAAATTATTTCTCAATCTGGATGATGTGAAAGTGCATGGCTCCCAGTGGCTTCCGAACATCGAAAGGGAGAGCGTTCCAGACGGACGCAGAAAGTCTTTGTTTAAAAGTGCAGTGTATTGAGACACAAAAACGTCACGGGTATACTTTGAAAAGACACACACACAGCTTCTGTATTACTCCACGGTGTGAGAATGATTTTTGTTAAAACTCCGAACGTGCTTTTGATCATCTCTGGAACTACGGAACTTCCTCTTTCGCCCTCGCCGAGTCTCGAGGCGGAATCTTGGCCTGAGCAGCGACGCTTTCACCACTGGAGCTGCGCAAGGTCCACCACCCCCCATCACCCCCTCTAATTGAATGAATCCGCATCGGCTGCAAGAGTTCGATCATTCGCTCACCAACCCCCCCCCCCCCCCCCCAACTGCTGTAAAACCACCGCACAGCAGCTGCCAGGAACTGCCGTGGTTCCCAGAAGCCACTGATGCTCTACATGATTATTACCCCCAGAGCTGCACCACCTGTGTGCGCGCACGCGCGCGCGCGGTTCGACTGCTCTTTGGATTTCGCAATGCCCACGGTGTTTCCGCGATAATGTTCAGGCGTATTATTTTGGGTCTTTCGGTAAAGTCACGTAGATAGGTTCAAAGAAAATAACAACTACGACGTTTCGATCGCAACACAAGCGCTTTTCCCACCCCCCACCACCACCCCTTTTTCCTGAAGACGACCGCCATCAGGATCAATTGGACCTCCGAACAAATGACAAATTCGCTCGTTGCATGCCGCGCGCGCGCGCCCCGGATGATTGCCAAACGCATCTCGTGTCGAGCGAACGTGCCAAATTCGATTAAACGCCCGCAACATTGCATTCAATGTTTGGGAGAGGGGGGGGGGGGCTTGTATACAGCAACAGCAATCATTGCCACCCCCCCCCCTACTGGCTGACTCATGATCAACCCAGGGTCACGCTTGTAAAAATGCCACTCGACCATGGCCTCTTGAACAGTGCCGGATGAAGCTCGTGCGGGGCCTGTAGTATTTGTTGTTAATAAGGGGCCCTAAATAAAATAAAAACACAAATATTAAAACACACAAATGTTATCACTTGCATAGTAAAGTAATTGTATTTTTTCATTTGCTATACGGCCGGATAATGCGACAAATCGCCAACCTTAAACGCCCGGTCGTTCGTAAAAGTTGAAGGCAGTATAGTACTATAGTTATAGAGCAAGTGCAGACTCACTGATACCGGAATTGATAGCTTGAAAGCATTTAGCGCGGGGCCCTTGAAAGTGCGGGGCCCGTAGCTGCTACTACACATGTAGTAGCTACTACATATGTAGCTACTTGTGCTGCTGGGATAATCCGGCACTGCATTTGAGTTCTACGGAATAAAAAAATTGAGGTTGGCAACTTGGGCAAAGACCCCCCCGGTGTCACTCGGCTGGTCTGGGAAACCCCCCCCCCCCCCAGGAAGAGCTAGAGTCTGTGTAGCAGTGTAATGTGTAGCAGTGTAGTGTATAGTAGTGTAGTGTGTAATGTATCGTAGTGCAGTGTAGTGTACAATAGTGTTTAGTAGTACAGTGTAGTGTATAGTAATGTAGTGTGTAGCAGTGTAATGTGTAGTGCAGTGTAGTGTATCGTTGTGTAGTGTATTTTAGTGTGTAGTGCAGTGTATAGTGTATAGTAGTGTAGTGTATAGAAGTGCAGTGTAGTGTATAGTAGTGTTTAGTAGTGTAGTTATAGCAATGTAGTCTATAGTAGTGTAGTGTGTAGTAGTGCAGTGTATAGTGTAGTGTATCATAGTGCAGTGTAGTGTATCGTAGTGTAGTGTATTTTAGTGTGTAGTGTATAGTAGTGTAGTGTATAGTAGTGCAGTGTATTTTAGTGTGTAGTGTAGTGTATAGTAGTGCAGTGTAGTGTATAGTAGTGCAGTGTATAGTGTATTGTAGTGTGTAGTGCAGTGTATAGTGTATTGTAGTGTGTAGTGTATAGTAGTGCAGTGTAGTGTATAGTAGTGTTTAATAGTGTAGTGTATAGTAGTGTAGTGTGTAGTAATGTAGTGTACAGTGCGTAGTAGTGTAGTGTAAGAGTAATGTAATGTATAGTGTGTAGTAGTGTACAGTAATGTAGTGTATAGTGTGTAGTAGTGTGTAGTAATGCAGTGTACAGTGTGTAGTAGTGTAGTGTATAGTAATGTAATGTATAGTGTGTAGTAGTGTATAGTAATGTAGTGTATAGTAATGTAGTGTATAGTGTGTAGTAGTGTAGTGTGTAGTAATGCAGTGTACAGTATGTAGTAGTGTAGTGTAAAGTAATGTTGTGTACAGTGTGTAGTCGTGTAGTGTATAGTAATGTATAGTGTGTAGTAGTGTATAGTGTATAGTAATGTAGTGTAGTAGTTTATAGTGTGCAGTAGTGTCGTGCTGGAGTCTGCCGCCAAGGAGAGGGAGGTGTGGACCGCCACGACCCAACGCGCTGCTGCCGCCGCGACCCTCAACCAGGACAAGCGGACTGAGAAGCGAACGACTATGGCCACGTGTTCGTTGGGTGCCACGTGAGTGTGGAGTCGTTTTAAATGGGCGCTCTCTACGTCACAAGGGGCGTTCTCTACGTCACAAGTGGAGCACGCGCAAAGACAAAGATGCCCCGTGTAACCGTTAATAGACTGTTGGGGCAAGTGCTGTTAACGATTTGCACCTATGAAGGCCGGCACGGTTACACGAGGCGGTGGGTGGCCAGCACCACGCCCCGGCCGCCTTTGTCTCCCTCGTGGCGATGTTTACTACACACCGCACTAGGTACTCATTTAAATCTGAGTCGACCTAGGGGGAGGGAGAGGGGGTGTGGCGCCGAACAAGTTCAGATAATCGTGAGCGGGGATATCACGAAGTCGGGACGCCGGATTCGTAGCGCGAAGCGCTGCACCAGTGGGTCTCACCCGGGGGGTACGCGGGGAGATTTATAAACGTGTGAAATAATTTAATACGTGAGAGATGTTGGTGAATTAATCATATCCGAATCCGCTCAATATTAAATAACTACGATAAAATGTAAACCCACATGGCAACCTAGAACGATATAAAAGACCTTTCGAAACTCATTGATCGTAAACAATGTGGTTCATTATTCATACATTTATTTCTCAGAGCCATGTTGGGGTCAGGCTAAGGGGGGGGGGTTACTCGGTTGAAATAAAATGTGGGTTGCCAACCCAAATTCACCACGCGAACGCCCCACCCTCCCCCACGCACGTACACGCGTGGGGAGCGGTCACGCAGTGAATGTGAACCCACGCGCGTAGACTCCGGCGCAAGAGAATCGGCGCTCCGATGTCACACGGGACGCGTCCGTCGGATGCCCCCATCTCAATTTGAAATTCGCGCAAGCTCCTGGCGGGGGGGGGGGGGGGGGGTGGCGGGCACGTCACGCAGGACGTGACCTGAACAATCATCGGGCGCGTGCAGCGAGTAACGGCGTCGCACGAACCGGGGGTGAGTTTTTTGGGGGGGTCGCCACCTCGAGACACAAACACTTAGCGCGGTGGAGTGGCGAGGTTTCTGGAGGAACGGAAGGCCGTCGCTGTAGGGACGTCGCTCTCTGTTCCGCGTGGGTTATTTTGAACCCCGAATAATTTTGACCGTGGGGGGTCGGGATATGATTGTTTCGGCGTCAGAATAATGGTTATGATTGTGGCCAGAATTAAGGTTGTGATGAGGTCTTGGTTTGAAGCGTTCGTGGCTGCACGAATCCATAACTCTTTGGTTCCTTCGGTAAAGTCACGGAGGTAGATTAAAATAAAACAAAAGAATGCAAAAAATATCACGGCGTTTCGGTTGCAACACAAGCGGTCGTCCTCAGGCGGAAAAAAAAAATCCAGCAGTTGTTCCACTGCTGGATTATTTATTATATTTTATTTTGGTTATTTTTTTTACCTACGTGACTTTACCGAAAGAACAAAGTGTTATGATGAGGTGTTGGGATTAGGATTCGGGTTCCCATTAGGGTTAGGATTACGCTCAGAATCGGGATTAGGGTTAGGATTAGAGTTCGGATTAGGGTTAGGATTAAGGGGTATCGTCAGAATTATGGTTGTGGTTCGGGAATAACAATAATGATAACACGGTCAGAATTTACACTTCTAAAAGCGACTTTCACCCGGAGATCATAAGGCGCTGTACAAAAGACGCGGGGCAGGGCTCGCGTCAAAACAAAGGAGTGGGGGGGGGGGGTCGATCCTGAGAGGGAGGGGGTCGATTGGGGTTTAAATCAAATTGAGTATCCTGACCTCGGAGTCACGGGTCGACGGTGGACAGGAATGCCGTCTCGCACCGGCCCATGTCCACTCCGGCAGCCGGCAGCACCCCCCCCCCTCGTTCGACTGGTGGCATGCCCCCCCCCACTCCCCCCCACCCCACCAACCTCCTGCGTTGGGTTTCATTCCAGCCGGGTCCGTCCCGAGGCCGCGACTCCGGAAAGATTCAACGGAGCGCCGCGCGCACCGCTCTCGCGGGGCGCCAGGTCGCGCCGCGGACCCTCTCCAGCCTGCCGGCGGGAGACTCGGGAGATATTGGGCGAGGAATCGCACGGCCCTCGCTGCGTGCTCCCAGTCTACGGTCTCTCGGCGCGAGTCTGCGCGACTCTTTGGGTCTCGACGCGCGTCCGTTGTGCCTCTCTCAGCAAGTCCACGTGACACGGTTTTTTTTTAATTCTCAAGTCAGGTCGATTCCGTTTCGGCGAGCTCTTGAACATTTGTTTTTTTTATATATATATCCGTACACCCGGCACACCACATCCAGTATGTACACCTCGCCCGAACAACCAAAGCAATAAAAAAAACCCACTTCAGAGGACCCCGCGCCGCGACCCCGGTGAACCCGGCCACCTGCCGCGTCCCCCGCCCACCATGCGCTTGAAGGCCGCCCTGAAGTCCTCGTTCAAGGTGGTGTAGATGAGCGGGTTCACCAGCGAGTTGGCGTAGCCGAGCCACGAGATGAGCTCGGAGAGCGCCTCGGGCGGCGCGCACGCCTCGCACACGTTCACCACGAGCTCGCGCACGAAGAAGGGCAGCCAGCAGAGGGTGAACGCGCCCAGGATGAGACCCAGCGTCTTGGCCGCGCGACGCTCCCGCGACTCCGAGATGCGACGGAGCCTCGGGCGCGTCGTGCCACCGCCGCGAGCCGCTTGCGGGGCCCAGAGCGACGCGGACAGCGAGCGGCAGTGGTGGGGCCTCGTGGAGGCGGCTGCGGCTGCCTCGCGCGCCGAGTTGACGGGCGGCTGGGCAGGCTGTGTGTTGTGCGGCGCGTGGGATTTGGATTGAGGGTTCCGTGGTGACGCTTGCGAGGCGCGCAGGAGATGTGTCTCGGGGCCCTGGGGGCCTCCTGGCTGGGCGCGCTGAGATGGTAGGGAGGGCCGTTCCGTCGCTACGAGCGGCGGTGCTGAGTTCACGGTGGCGGCAGCCTCGGAGAGCCGCGGTTGCGTTTGACGGATCTGAAATCCGTGTTTGGACGCTTGGGACCCCCGCCGAGGAGATGGAGCGTCCGAGTTGAAGGCCTGGGGCCCTGCCCGAGGGTCTTGGCTGCCAGGGGGGGACACCTGAGGTCTTGGCAGTGCGACCGGGGCCCTACAATCCGAATCTGATTCTGATCGTCGGGCCTCCTGTGAGCGGTGCAGCGGTGATCCCATCCAGGGGCCCTGGACCGCGGTTTGAGCAACTTGGCACTGGGTCTCAGGCACCCGAATCCCTGCCACGGGGACCTGAGAATCCACCGCCACCGACGCCGCCTCGTCTCGTTTCACGACCCCCTCCTCCATTTGGCCACCGGCAGCCGGCGCCACCACCCGCTCCATCTCCTCACATCGCGCTCTCTCATCACCACCACCACCACCACGACAATCATCCTCCTCGTCATCCTCGTTATCGTCTTCATCTCCCTGCAGCCGCTGATGCCGACCCTGCCCACGTCCACGGCCGTGCCCATCCTGACCCTGAGCCTCTCCCTGCCGGGGAACCCCCGCGCCGACCCCCGCGAGGGACACCCCCGTGGCGACGACCCCCCCGTTGGGGGCGGCCCCGCACAGGACGCGGCTGCCGCGGAGGCCCCGGCGAAAATGCGAGCGCGCGGCGCGGTAGATGCCGCAGTAGAGGACGAGGAGAAGCGCCATGGGCGCGTAGAAGGCACCCACGGTGCACACCACGGCGTAGAGGACGTGCGCGTGGCGCGCCGCGCAGCGCCGCCGAGCAGTCGCGTCTCGTTCGGCTCCCGGCTGCGGCGCGCGGGTGGCGGTGGTGGCGGCTGTGGTGGCGGTGGTGGTGTGGTGGGCAGGAGGGGTGTCCGCTTGGCCACCAGCTCGGGTGTCCGACTGGGTGGACACGGGGTCTGGCGGCACGGCCGATCGTCTCTCGGTTTGCGCACCAACACCACCACCAACACCACCATCACCACCAACACCACCACCACCAACACCACCACCACCATCACCACCAACACCACCACCAACACCACCACCACCAACACCACCACCACCACCAACACCACCACCACCAACACCACCACCAACACCACCATCACCAACACCACCACCAACACCACCACCAACAACACCACCAACACCACCATCACCAACACCACCATCACCACCAACACCACCACCACCACGGGTGATCTGCACGCGCGGTGCATCGCCACCGCCGTCACTGCCGAGGGTGCCGCCACTCTCCTGGGCGTCGTCCGTCGGGGCAGTCGGCGCGCCGTGCCGGGCGAGCTTCGCGTGACCCTCCACGCGGCCGTGCGCGCGCACCGCGCCGGTCCACGCCGCCTCTGCGGCGGCGGCGGCGGCGTCGGTCTGGGCACCTCCAGGCTGGGCGTCCCCACCACCGCCGCCGCCGCCGCCAGCGGTGCCCACGGTGGCGAGCGCGAGGGGCATCGACACGAGGATGGAGGTGACCCAGACGGCGGCGATCATCGCGGCTGCGCGGCGCGGCGTGCGGCGCGGCGCGTAGCGCACGGCGCGCGCGATGGCGCAGTAGCGGTCGAGGGCGATGGCGCAGAGGCTGAGGATGGAGGCCGTGCAGCAGGTCACATCGGCGCTCGTCCACACGGCGCAGGCGGCGGGGCCGAGCGGCCACGAGCCCGTGGCGGCCGCGGCGGCGCCCGGCGGCATCACGAGCAGGGCGACGAGTAGGTCGGCCACGGCCAGCGAGCAGATGAGGTAGTTGGCTGGGTGTCGCAGCTTCGGAGTGGCCGCCACGGCGGCGATGACCAGGCCGTTGGCGAGCGCCGTGGTCAGGGCGATGGAGGCCAGCACCAGGGAGACGGTGGCCGTGTGCGCAGCGGAGGTGATGGAGGCGGGGGGAGTGTCGCTCCACGGCGAGGAAGAAGAAGAAGTGTTCATGGTTCGTAGTCGCTGCGGTGAGACCCCCTCGCTCATCGTCGCCACGTGGGCGAGGGGGTCTCTCTCTGGGGGGACATGGGGCGGCGGTTAGTGGGGGGGTCCTTCAGGGGTCCGGCGGGGGTTCGTGGAGACGAGGTGGGGGAGCGTTGTGGAGGGGTCCACGATGAGCGATGGGGAAGGAGGTGACGCGTGCGATGAGAGGAGAGTCTATGGCAGCTGTTGATGATGGTGATGATCGAGGTTACTGCTGGCGCTGCTGCTGATGATGGTGATTAAACTGCTGCTGATGATGCTGATTGCTGCTGCGCTTACTGCTGTTACTGACAATGTTTATGCTGTTTATTATGATGATGATGGTTATGATGGTGCTTAAGTTGCTGCGAACGATGCTGCTGTTGACGACGACGATGATGATGGTGATGTTGATGATCATCACAGTCTGGTCTAAGGCCTCATCGCTCGCAGCAACAGCAGCAGCATCTTCGAACTCTGGCGGCGAAAGGGAGGGTTGTGATCACAGCTGGCGCCGACACCCCCCTCACCCTACGGCCGGGGAGAGTGTCACCTCCCATCCTCCCTCCCTCTATCCCTCTCACCTTCCCCTCCCTCTCACCTTCCCCTCCCTCTCCCTCGCCCTGCGCGATTACAAATACGAAGCATGCCGTATGCTCACAGCGATTCACCACCCCGCGACCGCTGACATCATCACAGAGCATCGTATCTGGCTTGAGCACCTCAATGGGAAAGTGCAGCTGTCCGCTGTCCGTCATCAGCATATCGGCCAAGCCGAAGAAGATCATCCGCTCTCGATTCGTTATCGATCTTCTCTCCTCCTCTCGTCAGTCCCTGCATCACCCCCCACCCCCCTCCTCTGATCCTCCATCCAACGTCCCACCCATACCCCCCTCCCTCTCATCCTCCTCTACCCCTCCCTCCACCCTCTTCCCTCCCCCTCATCCACCTATCCATCTCCCCTATCCCCGTCCCATAAGCCCAGACCAGAGATATTCACCTGGCGGGTTCCACGCGGGGTGGCACAACTTCACCGATTCAAATGCCTTTAATTATAACCGGTGAGTTTATGTGGTCACCGCTTGCAATGAGTAGGGTTATCGAGTAAGTCGCTCTCGTTAGCCGTATAAATACATCGGTAAGACCGACGTTTTGCAATCATGGGTGGTACCAATTTCCCATCTGACACCACGGTGTATGTGCGTATGTCTGTATGTCTAACGTCTTTCGCACCGTACGTAGCCAGCCGTGATAATTATCACGGATGGCTACGCACGGTGCGAAAGACGTTCTTCCCCCCCGCACCTCCGATTACAAGAACAAAGAACTAAAGCGAAAAGCAGTTGTAGATTTAAACATTAGTTTTCAATCGAGTGAGTAACCTCCCTCGATCCCACTCAAGGCCCTCTCCCCCCCAATATCCCCCTACCCCCTGCATCCCTCCCTCTCTTCCACCCCGTCCCATACTCCCTGCCCCCTGCCCCCTACAACACTCCCTGCCCCCTACAACACTCCCTGCCCCCTACTCCCTACAACACTCCCTGCCCCCTACTCCCTACAACACTCCCTGCCCCCTACTCCCTACAACACTCCCTGCCCCCTGCCCCCTACAACACTCCCTGCCCCCTACTCCCTACAACACTCCCTGCCCCCTACTCCCTACAACACTCCCGGCCCCCTGCCCCCTACAACACTCCCTGCCCCCTACTCCCTACAACACTCCCTGCCCCCTACTCCCTACAACACTCCCTGCCCCTACTCCCTACAACACTCCCTGCCCCCTACTCCCTACAACACTCCCTGCCCCCTACTCCCTACAACACTCCCTGCCCCCTACAACACTCCCTGCCCTCTACTCCCTACAACACTCCCTGCCCCCTACTCCATACAACACTCCCTGCCCCCTGCCCCCTACAACACTCCCTGCCCCCTACTCCCTACAACACTCCCTGCCCCCTACTCCCTACAACACTCCCTGCCCCCTGCCCCCTACAACACTCCCTGCCCCCTACTCCCTACAACACTCCCTGCCCCCTACTCCCTACAACACTCCCTGCCCCCTACTCCCTACAACACTCCCTGCCCCCTACTCCCTACAACACTCCCTGCCCCCTACTCCCTACCACACTCCCTGCCCCCTACAACACTCCCTGCCCTCTACTCCCTACAACACTCCCTGCCCTCTACTCCCTACAACACTCCCTGCCCCCTACTCCCTACAACACTCCCTGCCCCTTTACCTACAACACTCCCTGCCCCCTACAACACTCCCTGCCCCCTACTCCCTACAACACTCCCTGCCCCCTACTCCCTCCAACACTCCCTGCCCCCTCCTCCCTACAACACTCCCTGCCCCCTACTCCCTACAACACTCCCTGCCCCCTACTCCCTACAACACTCCCTGCCCCCTACTCCCTACAACACTCTCTGCCCCCTGCCCCCTACAACACTCCCTGCCCCCTACTCCCTACAACGTTCCCTGCCCCCTACTCCCTACAACACTCCCTGCCCTCTACTCCCTACAACACTCCCTGCCCCCTACTCCCTACAACACTCCCTGCCCCCTACTCCCTACAACACTCCCTGCCCCCTACTCCCTACAACACTCCCTGCCCCTACTCCCTACAAGACTCCCTGCCCTCTACTCCCTACAAGGTTCCCTGCCCCCTACTCCCTACAACACTCCCTGCCCTCTACTCCCTACAACACTCCCTGCCCCCTACTCCCTACAACACTCCCTGCCCCCTACAACACTCCCTGCCCCCTACTCCCTACAACACTCCCTGCCCCCTACTCCCTACAACACTCCCTGCCCCCTGCCCCCTACAACACTCCCTGCCCTCTACTCCCTACAACACTCCCTGTCCCCTACAACACTCCCTGCCCCCTACAACACTCCCTGTCCCCTACAACACTCCCTGCCCCCTGCCCCCTACAACACTCCCTGCCCTCTACTCCCTACAACACTCCCTGTCCCCTACAACACTCCCTGCCCCCTGCCCCCTACAACACTCCCTGCCCCCTACAACACTCCCTACAACACTCCCTGCCCCCTACAACACTCCCTGCCCCCTGCCCCCTACAACACTCCCTGCCCTCTACTCCCTACAACACTCCCTGTCCCCTACAACACTCCCTGCCCCCTGCCCCCTACAACACTCCCGGCCCCCTACAACACTCCCTACAACACTCCCTGCCCCCTACAACACTCCCTGCCCCCTGCCCCCTACAACACTCCCTGCCCTCCCTCGCGCCTTGGCATGGACACAGAACTACCACCACGCGGTTCCGCGTCTCGGTTGAGTGAATCGGCGGGCACCACGTGATCAATCGCGGATGGAGAGCCACCTGTAAATGCGGGTGGTGGTCGTGGTGGGGGAGGGAGGGAGCGGGATGGGGGGGGGCAGTGAGGGATACGGGAGCGCTGTCACTGCACGTGATGGAAATGTCACCCGGACGTACAAACATGCAAGTGCAATAAGGTTAACGACAAGGGCCTAAAAATAGCCCACGTGCAGGCGTGTTGTGAGTGTCTGGGTGGTGCAGGACACCCACCACGCCCTCGTGTGCCCCAGTGCTGGCCTGGGCTGTCACTCGCTAACAGCACTTGCCCCCACAGTCCTGTTCAAGGCTCTGACGGTGGTGGTGGTGGTGGGGGGGGGAGTGTGCGTGGGTTGTATCGGGGGGAGCGGCATTGTAGTGGTTAGGGGCCGTCCATAAATGACGTCACGCGATTTTGGACGATTTTTGGCCCCCACCCCCTCGTCACACGGCGTCACGAAAAGTCAGACCCCCCCCCCTCAAATATGACGTCACAAAGCTATGTCCCCCCCCCCCCCCCAAAATAAAACATGCTTCAAATCGCTTTAAACTATTATTATTGTAGTGCGTATTTCATGTGGCGCTGCACTCTGATGTTGTAGGAGAAAACATTTATTAAAAAGTCTATTTAATTAAGTAGAACGTTTTGATTTAAAGCTTTCGTGACTGCAGTAATTCATATTCTTAGCTCTTTCGGTAAAGTCACGTTGAAGGGAAACAATAAAATATATTTTATTATTTTATTGTTTCCCTTCAACGTGACTTTACCGAAAGAGCTAAGTCTATAAGTAGAACGTGTTGTCTATATATATTTAAAGTTGCGCATTTTTATGTGACGTCACATTTCTCAAACCCCCCTCTCGTCACACATCGTCACACATCGTCACAAATGTCTGACCCCCCCTCCCCCCTATGTGCGTGACGTCATTTATGGACGGCCCCTTAGCGCACTGTGCTCTCACCCGAGTTCGATTCGCGCCGGTTATGATCCACACGCACGTGCGTTGAACTTCTTTCTCACCGTTCGTAGCCAACCGTGCTGATCGGAGGTGCTGAAAGGACGAATAACTCTAAAACGGTGCCGGGCATCCTCTGGGTCGACTCAGCCTTAAATGACTACCTGGGTGCTGTGGGTGAATATCAGCTGTGGGTAGGTACGTGGTAGGCGGGCGTGGCTTCTGGATCCCGAATCCGTCGTGTGCCGCGTGTTCACCTCCATAGGTGCTGCTGCTCGCTAAAAGCACTTGTACCACCAGTCTATGAAGGCTACACGGGGGGGTTTGTCTCTGTGTTGTCTTCCTCTGTATGGGCTGTGTTGTTGTTTGTGCGCCGATGCGAGCCTTAACAGGTGCCCACCAACAGCTACCTGCCCCATAGACCATTTCGCATGAACACCGGTGCCGTTTTGAAACCTGCAGGCCGGCATTACCTCCGTGGCCGGCATCCTGGGTTTCACCAGACTTGGTTGTGTGAGCGGACCACGGATCGTTCACACAGATCTGGACACAGTCCCATCATGGATTTTCTGTTTGCACAGTCACATAGTCACTTTAAGATGTTTTCTTGTTCATGTTTTTTTTTGTTTTTTGCCGTTGCACCCGATTCAAGAGCCGAATGGCTCACAGGGCTATACCAAATAAATGGAACTATGAACTCTGAGGGAGATGCTCATCCGGCACGCCGAGGCAGCGGTGTTGGCCGGGGTCACGCAGCCCGCATTCAGACAGTGAGCCAGTATCATCAGAGGTTTTTTTGGGTTGTGGATGATATTGGTCGCGAAAGCCTTCGCGCTGAAGCGAGGCAGAGGCCACATTACAAGCCTGAGGTCTGCAATCGTCTTCCGTGTCAAAGTTGCAGTCGGCCAATGAATGAGGACATGTCGGAAGACAGCAAGGCGCTTGGAGAAAACCAACGCGTGCGAGGGAGCAACACTTTATCCCGTGCAGACGGAACAGATGAGAGTTCACATTTGCTGTGCTGCCTTCTCGCGGCGAGCCAAGGGGGGCATACGGCCACCTCGTCGACGCTCACGAGAATGGAGTCACACCAGACGCACGTGCGTGTGTGTGTGTGTGTGCGCGCGATCCACCAGACCTCGCCTCCTCCACAGTGCCACGCGCAAGCATAGCCACGAACCAAACGGCTGATGAAGTCCCTGGGTGTGT